CGGCACGTGGCCCAAACCGCTGCGTGCGCACCGCGATGCTCCCAGTGTGTGCAGAGAGAGAGGCTGTGCTGAGGACCTAGGAGGAGCTGGAAGATTCAACTGATGGAGAACTCAGTGCACAGCTGTGGGCAGCCCATGTCTGGGAGGTAAAAACCCATTCCTCCTCCTCTGGGTTTATATGGTGCCGTGCTTCCCCTGGGAGAGGGGATGTGATCTCTGCCTGGCACGTTGTTATCCCAACAAATCTTGCTCAGACGTTTCGTGCTGACGCAATGATTAACGGGGGTTGTGGTGAACCACAGGAAAGGGTTTGTCTGCAGGACACGGGGCTGCTGCGAGCCTGAGTCCTGCTGGCTGGGGTAGATGGAGGAACCTCTGGCATCAGGATGATTTTTCAGCTTCATTAAGCCCTGCCCTGAGACATTTGCTGTCTTTCCACTCTCTCTTGCTCCCCAAAGGAGGCAGCCCGTCCTGTTCATCACCTCCCTCAGGAGTCTGGTGCACAACACGGGGGCAGCAATAAGGCAGCAGGAGCCAGGTAAGCAGGGAGCAGGTCTGATGCTCCCTCAGACAGCCATCTGATGGGCTGTGCCCCGACACAGCTCGTCCTCGTAAGATGCTAATGAGGTTCTTAGAGCAGTGGAGCCGAGCTCATTGAAAAGGTTGCTTGGATCAGAGTTTAAGGAACTTTCCCCGCGTGCTTCTGCGGCGCTGTAATTAAATAATCCCTTTGTAGCCATGGAAACGTTGTCTCGGTGTCCTCTCCCACTCGCTGCTCCTCTGCCAAAAGTTACAGGCGTTGATTTGCTTCTGACAGCCCCGCGGTGCCTCTGGGGACCCTCAATGCGGAGCGGTGTGGGAGAGGAGAGCGGGGTCCCCCCACCAGGGAGGGCTCCCCGCAGCCCCCAGCTCGTGCTGGGCACCCTTGGGTGAGCTCTGCCCGCCCCAGGGGGCTCGGTAACAGGGCAGTGGTGCTGCGGGGACGCTCCTTGGTGATTTTTAATTTACACCTTCCCCTTTGCTTTTCTCCCATCCAGCTGCTGCCCAATGCTCTGCTCGCTGCAGGCACCAGCCCGGAGCAGGTCTGAGCTCTGCTCAGGTCCAGAGCCCGGCATCTCCAGGCAGGGCAGAAGAAGGGGTCGGGGTCTGCAGCACCTCAGCTTCTCCAGCAGAGCAGCAAGTGCTTCCCAGCCCCTCACGGTGGCTTTTCCTGGTGGAAACCTAAGGACCTGGGATTCAGTCGGTGCTGTTTGAGAAGGCAGGGAAAAAAAAACAATAGGAAGAAGAGTCTGACAAGCTTCTTACAAGCTTCTGAGGAAGTTTCACGTTGTTTTCCCCAGCTCCGTCAGCCTGAGTCCATCACAACTGGACCTGACGAGTCCTTGCTCCTTCCCACACTTCTTCGTGTCTCCTGCAGCCGCACAAAGCGGTGGTTTTTCTTCTCATCAATGAAGAGAAAAAAATATCTCAGTGGAAAGTTCATCAAGTTTGGGCTCCTGCTCGCTGAGTGATGGATAGCTTTAATTACACTGAGCTGGTTGGCATCTCCACTTCGCTCCCCAAAGTCATTAAAAATACATTTTCTGTGTGAGCTGCAGCAGCCCGTGGCTCTCGGGGCAGGGTGATGGGATGGGATGGGACCTGTCCCGGTCTGCAGGGCAGAGGCCCGTGCTGGAGCAGGCGTAAGCTGTGGAAACTTGGCTTTGTTTGGTTCTGGCTGTATTTATGTGTATTTATGCATTTGGAGCTGGATTCTTGCACTTATTGTACTTTTTTTTCTGGGGTCTGGCAGAGTTTGAGTTCATGTGTTTTGGAGAGCCTGGATTGATTTCCTTTGTTTTGTTTTGGTTTTGGCTGATGTGGTCAGGCAGTCAAGGAAAGCAGTAATGAGACTTTACATTTAATTATTGAGAAGTAGGATTGTAAACAGGGAACCGAGAAACTCAACAGCAGAGCTTGGGCACGGGCAGGAGGAAAAGACACAGCAGCGGGGCTGGTGGTCAACCTCGCAGCAAGGAGGTGCAGGTGGTGATGTTGCATTGAGGAAAATCACTGCCTGCGTCTGCCTGGCCTCAGGACATCTCAGCTCCTGTTTTGGAGAGCAGGAACAGAAATCTCAGGGCATCCAAACTCGGTATTCACTTTGGAAAGCTGGAGGCTGAGGTCTGCTGGTGCTCTGGGCTGAGGGCAGGGCTGCGAGCCCTGGGGATAAGCTCGTAGGTTCAGGCAGCAAAGTTTCCTGGGGCCTGGGGTGGGAAATGCGCTCCCGGAGCAGCGATAGACCTGGGTGTTTGCTGTGAGTGCCAGGAACATTTCCCTGGCCCATCTTCTCTACTGTAAATAGAGAGAGGTATTTGCATTTAAAAACTAAATAGTGCAAACCAAAGCCCTCTCCAAATAAACCATCCTGCTCCACGCAGCATCGCCCCCGGGGATGGGCGAGGATGAGAGCAAACAGACGGAGCCGTGCCAGGCGCCGGCACCGGAGCAGGGCCAGGGCTGGCAGGACACGGCAGGGACCCTGTGGGGACCAGGATTTGGGGCTCCTGCCCCTCGGTGGCAGAAGGGGACGGAGTGCTCAGACCTGCCCCAGCAGTGCTGTGAGCGAGCAGACCATGAAATCAAACCCCATCTGCAGGCAGGCGCTGGGGAGCACAGCAGCACCCTGCCCGGCTGATGTTTCCAGCTGCCTCTTGGGTTTTGCCCTGCTGAATGCCCAGCAGTGAGATTTCAGCATCCTCTGGAACCCGTTTCTCCGACCTCGGTGCCTCGGAGGTGGTTTTTTAATCAGCGCTGACCCGTGTTGGTAGGCATAGGGCATGCAGCTATAGCCTCCTAATGGATGTGGGTTGTTTTTCCATTGAAATTAAACATTATTCAGAGCGTTGGAGCCTTTCAGGTGGTTGGATGGGTGATGGTAAGGATGGGTGGATGTGTTGGGTCCGCTACAACTGGGCAAATGCTGCAGCTCCCCGACCTCTTTCATGCATGCAAATATTTAAATGACGTCTGCCCGCAATCTTTTCGAGCTTCTTTGGTTGACCACTTAATTGGGCATTGTGGGTTTCCTGGCATTAATTCTCAGGGTGAATTTTGAAGTTGTAGGCCTAAGCACTTGAGCAGATGATAAATTCCCTCCTAGAGCCCTGGGCCTCTCTCCAGGTGGGGTCAGGAGCCCGGCCAAGCATCCAGCGGGGGCTGTGGGTGCTGTGCGGGGGCTGTGGGTGCTGGGCAGGCTCTGAGATTGAATGTGCCGGGGAGGTGAAGGGGTGAAATTGCCTGCCCTGAGTTATGCAGGCATTAAAAAGAAAGGATCAAATGGTCCCGTTTGGGCTGGAAATCTGCGAGCCGAGGAATCGCTCAAAATTCCTGTGTAATTTTTAAAGAATTCTCACGTACAGAAGCCACAGCTTCCGAGCAGAAAAAGAACCCAAAATGCATAACATAAAACGATCTGCAACAAACTGCTCTTCGTATAATTCAAATCCTCCGTTATTTATAGAGCGCCGCGAGAGCACGCAGCTCCTCACAAACACCAGAGCAGCCCTGAGCTGCATACAGATGGCGGGGACGGATCCTGCCCAGCCTCACCCTGTGGGCAGGAGGAGAGGATCAGCAGCACCCAGCGGGCTGGGGATCGGCCAGAGGAGCCCTGCAAGGGGCTGGGTGGATTTTAGGCAAAAGCTTTTGACCTTCCTTGGGGTATCCTGGGGCCACTGGTGGCTCCCACGGGGCTGCTCGGAGCTGTGCTGGGTGCCGCGGGCAGGTTGGGTGCTGGGCACCCTGGGGGAGCCGCTGCTGCTGGGGGTGAGCTGCCCCCACACCAGCACGGTGCCCGGGAGGGGCTTTGTGTGCCCAGATGGAAGAAACCTCACCGAGTGTCTGCTCGTGCTATAAACTCAGCGAGCCTTCACGGGCACCCGAGGAGATGCCTGCTGGGTGCGCAGGGGTGAAGCCCCCCTCCCGAGGGCGTCCCGTGGACACCGGCTTAATCGATCGGTGTGATGTTGACGGTGGTGTTGAGTGATGAGAATTGCATGTGCAGGATGAGACACGGTCAGAAATAGCTCAGAAGCCTGGGGAGACGCAGGGGAGGGCTAAAACAGAGCTGCCCATCCTCGCAGGAGGTCAGAGCCCCCCCAGAGGGGGACGCAGCCACGGCTCTGCCCCGGCAGCACGGGGTGAGCTTCCTTCTGGCCTGACACCTCCGTGTGTCACTCCTTCACCCCACGTTTCTCCCTTTCTGAAGCTCTTTGTGCAGCCAGCTGGGGCTAAATTTGTGCACATCCCACCCGGCTCTGCCTCTCGCCCACCCGCTGCTCGCTTACCCCGCATGCATCCTACGGGCTCTGGCTCTGCTAAAAACCCTAAACACCCACCCAAGCTCCATTTCAAGCAAAGCTGTAAGGAGGGCTCGGGAAAGGAGAAGAATAGCGGCCCCGTCGGTGTCGTGATGAGAGAGGAGCTGGGTTCTCACCGCCTCAACAGCACTTGGCGTGAAAGTGGCCTTTGTCTGGCACACACTGCTCCTTTCACCCCGCGCCCCAGCTGCTGACGGACGGGGCGGCTGCAGGCGGGTGGCAGGGCTGGGACCCCCCTGGGACCCCCCCCAGGACCCTGGGAGAGGTGAGCACCCGTGGGAGCACACCGGAGCAGGCAGGCTCTCTGCCTTCTCTTTAAAGCAGAACAAGCTGCTGCTTCTGCTCGCTTCCACCCCTAACCCCAGGAAATCCTTTTTCCTTTAATTTTGCCTTTCCATTTCCCTTCATTTTTTTGTGAAAGCGTTATGCGTGCACCAGTTTAAGGGATCTGAAAGCAGGAGCAGCAGACTGGTTTTGCCATTGGGTTTTATTTCTGAATTATACAGGGTCTTCTTAATCCGTGATCCATAAACCCTGGCCCCACAGCCTTCTGCACAAGCACTAAACGTTAATTGGGCTCCTGGTTCCACCTGCCCGCCGTGCCGACAGACACGCTGAGGCTGTGCTTCTCCCTTGCAGGTGTCCCGGGTGCCCGTGGAGTCCTGCGAGCAGTACACGACCTGCGGGGAGTGCCTGAGCTCGGGAGACCCCCACTGCGGCTGGTGCACGCTCCACCACATGTAAGTCCGGCCTCGGCCCTGCATCCACGCCAGTGGCAGCGATGGGAAAAGCAGCTTTCACAACCCCCAAGAGCCTCCCCAATTGCAAAAAACAAATTACGTTGAAGTCCCTCGAATCCATTCTTCCCTTCCCTGGGTGTTCCCTGCATTGCAGTGTGAGTGCTGCTGAAAGCCCTGAGCTCCCGTGAAGAGGTAAAGGGAGAGAAATCTGTTCTTTGGGAGAGGTGGATTGCGCACAGCACGCAGGGAGGGGGCCGTGGGATGCCACAGAAGAGCAGAATTAAAGCCTGGGGGAGCAGAGCCCTCGCGTTTTGCACGCTCCTCCTGGCTGCCCGAGCCTCCAGTCCCTCCTGATTAATGGGGATCGTTGAGAGGCAACAGGAGGCTGGCTGAGATGAGCAGGGCTTCGCTTTCGGTGAGGTCACAGCGCCGGAACAGAGCGGAGCACCGAGCCCTATTAAGCATAGCTGGAAGAGGTGTTTAAATTCAGCATGGCGAGGTCAGGGAGCATCTCCTGCAGCCGTCCCCGTTGGGGCAGAGCCGGCCGGGAGCAGCGGGGCTGGGGCTGGCAGCGGGATGCACATCCCCAGGCAGCACGGGCTGAGGGCTGGTGCTTTCAGGGGAGCTGCAGGAAACGCGCTCTGCATTCAGGAGGTGTCCCTGTTCTTTCTGTCCCCTGCCACAAGAAGGATCGCTTCCTACAGCGGAAGGGGACCACCAGGCAAACGCCGATGCGGGGAGGAGGGGCGAGCCCGGAGGATGCTGGAGGAGAGGAATTGAAATCCCTCCGGCCCCGTGCCAGCCTGCAGAGCAGCCCCCTGAGCTGCATGGAAATCGGGGCGGAGGCAGAGCTCGGGGACCCGCACAATAACACTTGGCCACATGCCTGAGCAGCAGGTGTTGGAGGGGGAGAGAGGGAAAAGGCAGGCTCTTGTGCAAAATCCGGCCTGGATTAGGGACCTGCGTGCTTTGGGGTGCAGACCTGGCTCCCGGCACCCACCGGGGCCTGTTTGGTTTGCAGGGTTGGTGCCGCACCCAGGGAGATGCAGCAGAACCTGGTGCTGAGCATCCTGCCCATGGCCTTGCTCTCTCTGGGCTTGGGGCACGCACGGAGCAGCCCCTGGTGCCCCCGCCAGGATCACAGCACTGTGGGGTGCAGTGTCTGGGCATCTTCATTTTTATTTTTCCTCTCAGAGGAGCCTGCCCAGCCCTATAGCAAAGCCCCAGATGTGCTGTCGTGGTGGGAAGCCTTCACTGTCACATCAGCCTTGGAACTGGGAGGTTTTTCAGGTGTTTCAGACGTCTCAGTGCCAGGGCGAGGCAGTCTGAACACATCGGTGGCGTGGCTGTGCCAGGCACTTTACCTGGGAAGCAGGTGAAGGTTGTTATCTTAATTTTGCAGAGAGAAACCCCCCAGTGTCGAGAGGAGAGAAAAGTGCTGCTTCCTCTGCCCTTGGCATTTAGGCATTGACATCTTCCAGCAGGACTTTGTTCCCCGATGGTATTTCTCAACCCTCCCTTCGAGTGTCTGCACTTTCCCAGCCTGCTTAGAGCAATGCTCATTTTTTAGCCTTTGTCTTTAGCTGTAAATAATTGGGTTTATCTTGCTCTTCCTGAAGCCTCCGTCAAATTTGTTGGGAGGCCCCAAGCACTGGTGTGTTCGTGTTTAACTTGTCAGCTCGCCTCTAGTTCTTGCATTTCCCCCTTCCAGCTGGAGCAGCTGCTCCTTGGCCGAGCAGGAAGGCTGTGGGTCAGGGTGGGATGCTCACGATGTTTTCTGAGGGCTGGTGGGAGGGTGAGAGGCAGAAGAGCAGAGGTTGGGTCCTTGAATCAGCAGGAGAGGGGACGGCCTCGTGAGCAACGTGGCCATCAACAGCACTGATAAAAACTAGCACTGAGTCTCGATTGGGGGCTGAAATCCCGTTGTTTCTCCCCATTACGTGTTATGGGATTTGCCTCCCTGGGCAGCTGCTTCTGAATTGTAAATCCTGATGCTCTGGGTGTGTGAACAAGCGTGAGATACATGCGGGGAGCAGCGCCCTGTTCCAGGCAGCACCGGGTGTTGTGTTGCTGCCAGCCAGAGAGGTTTTACACAGCCAGTAACGAGGGGAAAGCAAAGGGATGCGAGCTGTCCTGGGATGAAAATTTCATCACCTGGGACTGCACAAACCTTTCCCCATGTGATCATCACGCCTTCTTGCCTCTGAGCAGCCCGAGTCAGGGATTCAGGCTCTGCTGGGCGGTGGGATGCTGGCACGGGCACGCCTGGAATTTGGGAGCAGTGATGCTCATGGATGAGCTGCCTGTGAGGATTAAACCAGTGAGCACGAGCAGGAATCGGCCACGGTTGTGGTGCTGGCTGCACGGGCAGCAATGCTGGTGTGTGGGTGCTAGGGAGCGCCTGCTCTTCCTCCTGCTGGAACCGCGCTCCTCGGGAGCCAGCAGAGGCCTCGAGGAGGTTGTTAAAGAGTCTCTTCAGCCCAGTGGGATTCGAAACCTGCAAGGCTCTTCCATATGCTGCTCTCTGCGAGTCTGTTATTGTCTACAGCCCTATTTATCTCTGTTAGGGCTGTTGCCATAAATAGTATGATAAAAAAGAGCCATTCCGGCGAGTCAATGAGATAAAGGCTCCAGTCAAGAGCTCCCTTTAAAGCTATCTTACAGATTCACTTAAACCTCGATAAGTCTTCCGTTGGCAGCGTTCATATTTAGCTCCATTACGCTCCAAAAAATAAAGAGGGGTGAGAGGAAGAGAAGAACAGCAGCAGTGTTTGCTGGCTATCACGCTGGGGTTTGTAAGGGAAGGCATAAACTTCACTGTTCTTAACCAAAAGCCAGCAGCCCTGCAGGGGGAACAACAGCCCTGATTTTGGGTGCTGCAAGCCCTGATTTTGGGCACCACAAACACCGATTTTGGGTGCTGATTTTGCAAGGCGCCTGCCAGCTGCTTGCAGAGGACGTTTCTGCTAATGCCTGCATGTCTTTGAGACTGCCCAGGCCTCCGTGAAGGGGCGTGGGGAGAGCAGCAGTCTGACAGCAGCACCTCGTTAAGTAGCAGCACCTCGTTAAGTAGCAGCACCTCGTTAAGTAGCAAGTGCGCTCGGAGAGCTGTCATGGAGCTGGCCGGTGGCACGTGGGTCTGGTGACAGCGTCTGGATCCTCCGACCTTTGCGCCGTGATTTTAGCCGGGGTCCAGGATCATCGCTGAGCGAGAAGTGATAAAGTTTGCTGATGGTTTATTAACACCATTAACATCAAAAGGCCAATATGTCACCTGCTGCCGGGGAGCAGGTTTTGAAGAACAAGGTTTTCCCTAAATTACATGAAATAGAAAATCCCTGAGGGATCCCAGTGCGGTGCTGCATTGTCTGATACCCGTCTCGAAACATTAATAATTCTTCCCTGGCTTCCTGGTGGGCACTCATCTTCCCACTGTAATTAACTTGGGCGCACATTTCCCCTTCAGCAGTTATAGCTGCAGCCCGAGCCCTGGCCGTGCTGTCATTCCCTTCATTCAGTGACTGCTTCTGCCCTGCTTCACCTTCTCATTCTCGTACTGAACTTGTTTTTCACATTTTACCCGATTCTGCCTCAAAATTTCAGTTCACTCTGAGGACACCTGCCATACAAAAATAGGGATAACGAGCTGCGGGGAGCAGTCCTGGTCCCCTTGGCATGCCCAGAGGGTTTTGTTCCTGAGGGGCTGTGTGTGTGCTGACGTGTGCCCGTGTGTGCCAGGTGCTCCCCGCGGGACAGCTGCGAGCGAGCCGCCGAGCCGTACCGCTTTGCCGACAGCATCGGGCAGTGCATGAGCATCACCGTGCAGCCCAGCAGCATCTCCGTGTCCCAGCACAGCCTCCCGGTAGGTCACGGGCAGGAGAAGGAGCTGTCGGGTCTTGGGTTCGCAGCCGACGCTCCGTTCTCCGGTCTTTCTCCCTTCCCAAAAGCACAAGTGTTTTCCCATGAAGTCAGGCTTGCAGGGCGCTGGTGAGGAGGGGCGAGGGGGTAGGGATCACACAGACAAATTCCCCTTCCCCTCGGGCCCCAGCTCGCATTTCTCTCGGTCCGGTTTCATTAACCGTTGAAAGGCAAGGCTTTGTTTCCCAAGCAGCCCATCTGTGAGCTGTGCCGAGCCCTGGCTCTCCCAAGCATCCCAGCTGTTTCCCCGCGAGCCCCCCGAGCACCCGCACACCAGGACCCGTGGACAGGCGCTGCGGCAGCTGCAGCCCCGTCCCGCGAGCCCCCGGGGCCGCTGCGTGCCCACAGCTGGGCTTGGTGCTGGCAGCCCCCAAGGTTTCTGCTGCTGCTGCACGTGCTGGGGGCTGGCCCCATGTCTGTTGCCCTCGGTGCTGCTGCTGCAGCCCTCGAGGGCACGGCGATGGTTCTGCAGAGCAAGTAGGGGACAAAAAGCTGCCATCGCCACCTCCCTCCCAAACTGCAGCATCCAAAAGCTCAGCGAGGTGTTTGTGCTCCACTGAACCTTCGTTCTTCTTCCCCCAGCGAAAGGCAGTTGGTCACTTTGTGTGTGGATGGGTGATCGAAGGGCGGCAGCATGCAGTGGGAAAGCAGTGGGTACCGAGGGCATGAAGGGTGCTGGGGCAGCTCTCCTGCTGACCACTTGCTGGCTCTTTTATTCCATTTTATTCCCCTTCTCCTCTCCCCCCGGCTGCAGCTCAGCCTGCTGGTGAGCGATGCTCCGGACCTGGCCGCCGGGGTCACCTGCCTCTTTGGGAACCTGACGGAGGTGGAGGGGCAGGTTTCGGGCAGCCGCGTGGTGTGCGTGTCACCAGCAGCCAAGGACGTTCCTGCCATACCCGTGGATCAAGGTGAGTGGCTGCGTCGGGGCGGGAGCGCCTGTGCCACCAGAAAGTGTGGCTGGGAGCGTCTGCTGGGTAGAGCTGACCCTTTGGGGATGCTGATGGAGAAACTTGGCCCTCTGTGGAAGACCACTGGCCCCAGGGACCTGCATGTGCTCATCCTTAGGAGACGGGCAGGCAGCAGTCTGTGCGTTCCCTGTCCTTTTTCGGTCCCCATCTTTGGGCTGTTTCTTCACTAATGTCACCGCTGCCTTATTTTCTCTTCCCATAAACAAAACGCTACCTGCTTAAAACTCATTTTCTCCTTGGCATCCTTCCAGGTGTCAGCGGTGCATCCCTGCTGATATCTCTGTGTTTCTAAGACATTATAGGGAGCCTCGGAACTGGTGAGCACTGGGGCCAGGAGCCGCAGCGGTAGCAGGGCTGTTGCAGACTTACCCTGGCAGCTCTGGAAGAGCAATCTGCTCTTAATTAACCCAGGGATGAGGCTCCTAAAAAGAGCCGCTAATGGCCTCACGTCCACAATTAGCTCCTATTCTAGTCTTGGGCCAGACAGAATTAGTGTGTGTTTGTCCTGGAGACAGAAATCCTGTAGGGAAGGGGGACGCAATCCCGATCCCCAGCTCATTTCAGATGTGACATGGGGCATCCCGGGGGTTTTGCCACCGGGTCTGATCAGGCCTGGAGGGGCTGCTGCAGACGGGCAGCCCCTGGGTCCCGGGGTGCTCGGGAGGGATGCTCAGCAGTGGGGTGCTGGGGGAGCAGCCTGCCTGCGCCTCCTGCCCCGCACCGAGGGCTCGGCACCCTGGCCAGCCGGGGAGCCCCCTGGCACCCAGCGCTGCTCCCCCCGTTACAGCCGGGGTGCTGACTGCCTCTGTTCTGCCCCGCAGACTGGTTCGGCGTGGTGCTGCAGCTGAAGTCACGGGAGACGGGCCGGACATTCGTCAGCACCGAGTTCAAGTTCTACAACTGCAGCGCCCACCAGCTGTGAGTGCGCTCCCCCCCTGCCAGCCCCCTGGGGGCTGCTCCTGGTTGAAGCCCCAGAGCCTCTCCTGGGACATTTTGGGGGGAAGCTCCCTGCGGGAGGGGGTCTTTGGGCTGTTCTCTCGGTGTGGGTGCTCTGTGCCCCCCATGCAAGGCGAGCCCACGGCTCCCTGCCCTCGGTGCGCTCCTCCGAGCGGCCGCAGCTCTCCCCGCCTGGCGAGGCGCAGGCGGAACGAGCCTGACAAAACCTTAACCTGCTGGTGCCCCCAAGCTGCTCCATCCTGCAACTGTGAACGCGGTTGCGCCTCGGTGGGAGAAGGCAGAAAAGGGATGGGGAAGTGGGCAGCACGCAGTCCCAGCACAGCGGCAGGGTTGGGGCTGGGGTCCAGGAGCAGGAGCTGCCTCGTGTGCTCGCCCCAGCACACGCAGTTGTTTTTGAGCATCTGAAGCGTTTGCAGACTTCTCTCTGGAAACAAAGCAAGTCCCAGAGCACCCAAATGAAACACGGGCAGGACCTGGCACAAGCTGGGTAGCAAGCGGCTGTCCCTGCAGGGCTGGGTGACGTCTCCTGCTGCAGGGGTCAGCTCTCAGCTCCGGTTTTGGAGCAGGATTTGCTGCCCAAGAAGCCTGGTAGGAGCCGAGAAGTGCCAGCACGGGGTCACTCACAGCCTTTCCATGCTGGATTTGAAGCCTCAAGCTATGAGGCCCTCCCTGCTGCACTTGGAAGAGGGCTGTGTGCTCTGACAAGCTTGGCTAGCCCGGAGTTTTTCTAGGCATCCATTCCACTTTTCTTTAGTTTTTTATTTTATTTTTTGAGACGCCACACACAGCAGAGGCACAAGGTTAAGAGGAGCCCTAATGATCCTTCAGTCCCTGTGTAGTGTCTCTCCAGCAGTCTGCACCCACCACCCTGTGGTCCCTGCCTCCTGCCATGTTCCATGCAGCTCTGTCCGTGCTCCCTTGTCCCTCAGCCAGGTTTCACAGCACCAGCCCCTGCCCCACCACGAGCACTTGTGGTCCTGTCCATGGTTCCCCTGGGTTCTTGTCTGCCTGGATTTGCTTGAGGGGTGACGTTGTGGTGACCCCTGTTTTCTCCTCAGAGTGGGTGTTTGGATCAGGAGAGGCAATGCGTCTTCCGTCCCATCGTTTGGCTCCGTCTGACCATGCCTCTCTCAAAGCTCGTGTTTGGAGATAAAGTGCTAACACGGTTGTAAATTCTGTAGCACTTACATCATGCTGCACTCATTATCAGTGAGTTCAACGAGGGCATGAGGCAGCCTTGCAGGAATGAATCACAACATGCGAGAAGCAGAAAGGAATACGGGGCTCAGCTAGCATCAGAGAGAGACCTATTGATCCTGAAAGTCCTCACTGCAACAGGCAGAGCACTGGGAGAGCAAGCAGGGGAAGGGCTGTGGGGCTGCAGCAGCACAGGAGCATGTGAAGGGGTTGTGGTGCATGGAGCATGCACCCGTGGGCATTTGCAGGGGGCTCGGAAGGGCAGGAGGGGTTTGTGGCTGGCTGAGGAGATGCTGGTTTTGCAGACAGGTTCTGCTCAAATAAATGAGCAATTAAATTAGTTTGCAGCACCTGATGGTCTTCCCCAGATCTGTGCGATTAGAATAAGCTTCCTTAGCTATTAAAGTCACTACGACTGCATCAGAAGGAAAATGCCACCAAGATCATACCACGCGTGCTGGGCTGGGAACACCCAGGTGTGAGGAGGGTCTGCGTTCTTTCAAACACATTTCATAAACAGTTAATTTCTTCCAACGTGAATCAAAAGTGCTTGCTGGACACTTTGCACTCTGAGGCCAGCTGAAGTGTTACCACTGACTTTAAGCATTCCCGACTTGTAAAGTAGCTGATCCAATTTTTGCCAGGCTTGCTTTGTTTTCCAGTTTTTACCAAAGCTAAAAACTTAAGCCTGGTGTCTGTGCAGTGCTGTGTTTTATTGTACACAATGCAACGATGTGCAGTAAATCCAAGCTTGTATTTTATTACTGGATTAATTGTGTGGTTGTTTAAATACTCTCTTCTGAGTGTTTGTTTTCCCAGACCCAAGATTGTGCCGCTGTCTGTTACTTTTGTTGTACCAAACTCCATCCAAAGAGGCTATTTTCCTGTGAGGGACCCTGAGCGGGGACTCTGGCTAGGCTGACCCGTTGCAGTTGGCCTCCCGACCCGATAACCTCCCCTGTAACCTGTCCCTTCTCCCCACCAGGTGCCTGTCTTGTGTGAACAGTGCTTTCCGCTGCCACTGGTGCAAGTACCGCAACCTGTGCACCCACGACCCCACCACCTGCTCCTTCCAGGAGGGCCGGATCAACGTCTCTGAGGTACCAGACCACAGTTTCAGCACTTCCTAGCTCTTTATTCTTTGCTTTTCCTGTGGCACAATTAGCAGAAGTGATGTTTGTGGGAGGTTTTTCGACTTTCCATGGGTTGAGGAGTGTTCCTGGGCTGGCACCTGGAGGTGCAGATGCAGCAGGAACGTAGCAGGGAAGTGTTCGTCTAGCAAAGCGATGTGTCCCAACCCCAATGCCAAAGCTGAGCCCCCCTTTGATACGTGGGTATGCTCGGATTCAGTAAGAGCTGTAATTCATTCTGTAATTGCTGTAGCACTTTCCTTCGGGGTCTCAGACTCCACGTTATATACAAAGCATGCAGGGATTTGCCTGACGGCAGCAACGAGTGGTGCAGAGCTCCTGGTGGGACTCCTCGTGCCTTCTGCACTGGGATGTGTTGGCAGGTCTGAAATTTATGGGTGGAACCCGACTGTAAACTGGTTAAGAAGGGAATTACAGACGTGAATAGCCCCAGACCTTGGAAAGGAGAATTGGTTCAGGTCCCAGCACTGTGGACCAGGGGCCATCTCTCTTAGCAGTTCATAAAAGGTGTGGGGCTCCATTCCAAAAACGCTTTTAACGGTTGGAAGGAGGCAAAGCCCATTAACAGCTCTGCCAGATCTCTTCAGTATGACCTGAGGTGAAGGGATCCGTGAAGGAAAAGAGTTTGTTAGCTCAAATTCCTGATCAAAGTTAACCAAAACCCCTTGATTTGGGGTTTTTGCACCTTGTCTGATTGCTTCCAGCTGTAAATCGGCAGCAGTGGAACTGGGGCAAAGCTGCAGTGTGCTCTGCTTTAGTTTCACCAGACGTAGGGGAGGAAAAAGTGTTTTGAAAATCCCAAGTGTCTTGGGAAGTGGGAAGGGCAGCAGTGGGGACACACAAATATTAGGAAAAGGAAGGAGAGAAGGATCAGCCAGCATAAATACAAACGCCTGTCAGTGGGTAATGGAGATAAGGAAGGGTCGGATGAGAGCAGCAGGAGGGATCGGGCAGTGGGATAAAAGCCACTGAAAAAAAAGTGCCGCAAGCTCCAGGGCTGCTGCTAAACCAAAGGTAAACTTGGAACTTAACCAGTCCCCAGGTCTTTCATTGCCAGAAGGCGCAGAGACGCAGGGTAAGGCACGTTAATGAGCTGCACGTGTATAGGATGGGGGTCTGCAGGAGCAGAGGGACAGGACAGGCAGTGTAACTGGGAGCTGCTGGCCTCGTGCCGCCTCCAGCAGGGACAAGAAGAGGCACAGACGTGGCACCTTGAAGAACTGCCTCATGCAGTGAGGGTACAAACGCCCAAGGAGAAGCATCCACCCTGGGGACAAACCAAAAGCTTCCCCAGTCCAGTTCAAAGCCGAGAAACTTCCTTTTAAGATAACAAGGGAAAGCAAAAACCTTTGCTTTGGCTTCTCTCAAGGGGTGTGGGTTTTTTTTTTCCTTCACACTCAAAGCTTTACCCTCTTCCCAGGCTTTACATTTGGAGTTCTTGTTTTTATAGGTCTCCAACCCCAGGATATTAAAAGTGTTTGACAAGTCTCTGGCAAAGTAGGGCAATTCCATCGCCTCCGTTCTGCTCCCAGGAACACACAGGACTTACCTGAGATCACAGGGCAGTGCAGAGGAGGAGATACATTACCTCTGCTGGTTCCTGATGGGATCACAGGGCTCCAGAGGACTTTGTCATCCTCGTCCTTTAGAGTTTGTTTCTTAGCGGGGCCGTTAGGTGTTAATGCAGCAGCCTTCTGGTGCCTGTTTTTGATAACAGCCACCCATAATGATACAGATGCTCCGCTGCTCATCCTGACTTCTCTGCACCTCTGAGCACAGGCAAAGCCAGCCACTAAAAACTAATTTGTTTGCTTATTTGAGGTAAATGAATTGTCACTTGTGTACACAATGCACTCCTAATGCCTTTATTACGGCATTTCACTCCGCTTAACACAAGACATCAAACAAACGCCTCATAAAGAGTTTCCTCTCCTAAAATAATTCAGATCACAATGCCCTCATTGTGTCACGGCCTGATGTATTGGCAAAACGTTTGTGCTTATCAGCGTGGGTCCCTCTGCAGCAGCAGGTCTGTGTGTGGAGCCGCAGAGCTGGGCCCGGGCCTGAGGCTGTGGTGGAGCTGGGCCCCTGCTGGACCCCCTGGCCTGGCCCATCCCCTCAGCTTGTTCTCCTGTAACACTCTCACGTGTGTTTGGATGGTCTCTTTTACTCCTGACCCATCAGAATTTGTGTCCCAATGGGATTCAGACATGTAACTGAATCCCTTTGATGCCCCTCAGGGTTGTCTGCGTTGGGAAGGGAAAAGCGCGTGAAGCCCCAGCCTGTTTGCTGGGTGCTTTGTGAAGCAAGCCCTTCTTGATGAGCTGCACACTTCTTGCAGTCTTCTGGCTGTACCAACTGAGCTAACTGCTGCTTTTCTGCCCCATGTTCCACACAAATACAAAGGAGAGGAGCTTTCTGTCTCTATCTGCCCTGTCCCCAGGGCAGAGCTCGGCAGCGGAGGCGGTGGCTGGTGCCTTGCCACCGGGGTAGAGGCTGGCCTGGGAAGCCATCAGTGAGCTCTGGCACCAGCAACTCTATTTTCTCAGCCTTTTTCAGGTGATCTGAGGCTTCGTTTGTCCACAGAAGTTGTGTGCTTGGACTTTGCTATCCAAAGAGCAATGGGAGGGTGTAGCCCTGAGGCTAGCTTGCACCCACACAAGTAAAGCCTCTCCAAAATGGGGCCTCACGGGTGCGTAGTGCTGGTTGTCCCCTGATACGAAGCTTCAGTCCCCCCAGGTGAAGCATGGGGCCCTCTGAGACTCACACAGCCCCAGCTCAGGCCTGTAATGTCATTTTAATGGGTCTGGGGGGGTTGGGTGTGAGTGTGTGTGGCTTATGGCCGTACGACGTGTCCCTGTAAGTGTACAAAGCACAGAGATGAAGAGGAATGTAGACACGAATCTATCCTTATACCCATCCCAGTGGAGAGCTAGAACCAAATAAATCCTATTAGTTTCCCAGAATGTGGGATCCCTTCCCTCTTTGATGTCCACTGCGTGTGGATAATGCCATTTCCACATGTGAGGTGCTGAATCGGGGGAATGGAGCGTTTCAGATTCTGGAAGTTAAGTGCAGAACCAGATTTCAGCTCTGTCCTGACTCCTTGGAGTTTGGGTTTAAATTATTGCTGCTTTTAGGGCGATATCTTTGCACCTGGCTATGCCCTTTGATGCTGAGTGCAGCCTGATGCACCTCGAAGGAAATAAAACAAATCAAACGTTCCTCATATCTGTTCCTACAATCCCCATTTTGAATGCCTGCATGGGATTTTTGGTGTGTAAGAGGCAACCAAGGACCACCTCTAAGTCCACCAAAGTCAGCAAATGACTTGGCTGGGTCACATCTAGCTCCTGCAGGGATGTTGGTCCGAGACTTTACCAATAGTAACAAGAAGTCCAGCTGCAGCAAGGTTAACTGCTCTGAAAAGATTGGGTTAAGCTTATTGGCAGTGCTTTTTTTCTTAGTAGTTTTATGGAGTAGAAAACCTGCTGTTTGGAGGGGAATGGAGCCGTGCAGGAAGATGCTCCTTGGGGACATGGGAAGCTGTCCCCTCCGTGCCCCATCCATGCCCAGGGATCATCTCTGATCCTCACCTCTGCTGTACAGAGAGCTGCTAATGGGCAAGAAATTCACTCTGCAGGCTTCTGTGCTCTGCTTCTGCTATAAATATTACAGGACTTTGTAGCTGACAGGCCAAGGCACAGGGTATGGAGCAGAGCACAGGACAAGCAGTCGGTTGTTGAGAATTTACCGGTGAGAAAAGTCCTGCTGCAGTTGACTTTCTTTGCACGTTTGGTTCCTGAGGAGCAAGGTCTGCTCTCCTTTCCACTAGCGTAAATGAAGAATAATGTGTTTGCCTGAGTGATGGGGTTCGTAATTCATGTCATTGGGAACACGACGCTGAGCCAAGGGTTTGCATTCGCGTGCCAAGTTCGCTTATGTTTAGAGCTTTAAAATGTGAGTAGCTAGTTAACATTTGTAGAGGGTTTTTGGTTTTAGGTGAAAAATAGAAAAATGTTGTATTGTCTTCTGTTTGGTCTAAATCCCTTAGTCGAAAGAAATGCCTGCTATTTCTAGGCAGTTTTTTTCCAAGTAAGAGCAAGGAGGTTTGACCTACTAAAAATGCTCTGTTAAACACAAATAATAACCATGGGTGCTCTGTTCTGCTCCAGGGACAGATGCTTATCTCTGGTGTTTAAGGTATTTATAGACCTTGGAATCTTTGAGACTAAAAAGTGTTGTAGAAGCATAAAATGTCTTTGTAAACTCTGCGCAGTGATGCTTCATACCCAGAATATTCCTTGAGAGTCTGTGCCACTCGTGCGTCAGTCTTGTCTTTCTCCGGCAGATCTTCTGATCTGTGTTTATTCTGGTTTACTGAAGTCAAGAAGGATAATGAGAGAATTCAGCGTGTGTTTGTTTAGCAAAAGGAGGTAATAATGGCCTTTCTGACTCACTGCAGGATTTACTTCTCATGAATTAAAAACAAAGTAAACTGATTACGGAGCAAATTGCATATTCTGCTGGCTGGAGTTCTCCCTTTTGCTCTGCGTTCTCTGGCTGCTCAGCTCGTCCTGGCATGGAGTGGGGAGTGCAGGACGGAGCACCCAGACTGGTGCTGAGCAAGCGAGGGGAAGGGCTCGTGGTTTACCTGCACAGGGGAGCCTTTCCAGAGCCTGCACGTGGTGTGGGAACAAGGTGCTGCTGCAGAGGCACCCACGGGTGGGCACCTCTCCATCCACTCGCACACGTGCACGTGCCATGTAAAAGCCTGCGTGTGCATGAATGTGTGTGTACATCGCTGCTGCAGCAACTGGGGAGGGAAAAAAATAAAGAACTGAAAGCTGAGCAATGAGCCTGGATTGGAAATGGCACAAATAGGGAAGAGAGGGCCCGCAGCAGTGCTTTCTGTAATGCGTGCGGTGTCGGAGCAAGCCCCACGCCCCCCAGCCCCTGCAGGCTTGGTGGCTTCACTCACTCATCTGATAAATTCAGCAGCAACCGCCAGCAGCAGTGCGGCTCCCCACAAGTGCCTGTGCTTTCGCTAGGAGGGCATCTTCCTGCATCCCTCTCCATCCCAAAATGTATGTCCCTTATTAGTGTGATCACTGGAGCTGTCAGGCAGCGCGGAGGGGCTGCGCTCGCAGGCTGGCAGCCCTTCTCTGCACCACAACCCCGACGTGACATTTTTCTCCCACTGAAAGCACTGCTCGAAGAGGAAAAAAAGAAAAAAGAAAAACTATTACATCCTCCTCATCTCAATGGTAGGACAATTTTTGCTACCAGCATTTTCAGCATTACAGGGCAGATTTGGAAATGCAAGTCCTCTCCTGTTCTCTGTGGGCAGAAGCGTTTCCTTAGCAGTCATCTCACGACTAACAGTGGCCAGGAAGGATAATGGTCCAGAACATATTCATTATTTTCAGGACTGTGCGCTGAGCTTCTCCCACTGGTGAGATGGCTGGAGACTGCCGGGTTTTAATCATCATGTGCTGAAGGATCCCGGTGCTGCGGGGTGCCTCTCCTCCCAGACAAGGAGCTGGGACCGCTGTGCCCCGCAGCCGTGTCCCCGCGTGTGCTGCTCTGTGGCCAAGCCCTGCGTGCAGCCAGGTCTCGAGCAGAAGCTGGAATAGGTGTGCAGGGTGTGAGAGGTGTGCGGTGTGTGATAGGTGTGCAGTGTGTGATAGGTGTGCAGCGTGTAACGAGTGTGCAAAGGGAACCCAACGCAGCTCACAGCTGGATGGAAAACTCCAGAGATCTCAGCAGCTTGCTGGGAGCGGTGCAAAGGCTGAGATGAGATTTGAGCCCCCGGTACTGGGGTCTGTGGGGACCTGAGAGCTGAATTTTGTGGTGACATTCCCAGCCAGCCTGAGGACCTGTGCTGCTGCACAGAAGGGCTGCTCTTTCCTTCCCAGCACGGCCAGCTTCCTGGCTGCTGGAGCTAAAAACCACTCTTGGCTGTTAATCCGTGAAAGTCCCTGTTAGAAATAAAATAAAAAATATATAAGGAAAAGTGCCACTAAAAAGGTTTATGAGGCAGCAGCTTAAGCTACTGGCTCCTCCAAGCTCGGGCAGCATCTGGTTCTCATTTACAGCTCCTCAGAGCCAGTAGCGAAACAACATCCCATGGCCTGGGAGCAGCTCGGCTGCCTGCTGGCCCTTAGCGGGATGGGATTTCCTCCACAGGGGATTTCTTCCCTGGGAGATTTCCTCCCTGGGCACAGGACAGCTCTCCTCGCCTCTCCACCCGCATGATTTAGTTTAATTTCTAGGCTGGGTGGCAAAGGGCTTGGGATGCCAGCATGGAATTTGGCAGAGCAAAAGGAAACAGTCCGTTTTTTTTCCCCCTAAAACTTCTGCGTTAGTTGGGGATTAATCATTTATTGTCAGCTCCTTACAGGTACTTAGGTACCTATTTCCATTAGATCAAAGCAAATTAGAGGTAAATGGAATGTAAATGCTTCTGATGGCCGGAGCCTTTGTCTGTGGTGCTGCAGTTCCTGGTGGATGAAGAGAGGAAAACCTGCGGCTCCCAATGTGCTGCGGGGAGATAATGCTTGGGTACGATGAGAGCTACTGGGAGAGGTGTCATACAGCTACCACGCACTGATGTTTTTTTTGTGGTTCCTCTCAGATTATCTTTCAGACAGCCATCGAATGCTCTGGTTTGTGCGGAGCCGCGGATGTGCTCATGTGTGAAGTGATGTTTGTGGGGACGGTTTCGCTTTGCTTTGTGCAGAACATCTCTAAAGAAGCCCCGAGCTCCTGCAATAACAGCATCAGTGGCAATGCCAGGCCTGCTATTAATTTACAATTGCATTATTTTGGCCAGATAGTGGCAGAAGTGGAAACAAATAACGCTTCCCTGCTTACTGCTTTAGTTACCCCGCTTAGCTGTTTAAGAGCCCAAGACCAAGCCCTTCCACGCTTTCCGTACAGCAAACACAGAGTTTTGGAGGCAGCAGCATTTTGCTCTTCTCTTTGTTCCTTTCTTGCAGCCACGCTGACGTTTGAAATATTTTCACATGGTTTTAGATGGAAAATTTAACAGACTGCTTCCAGTTTCATGCTATTTTGTACACTTCAAAGCTCAGCACCGCTCCCCAGCAGGGGGGCTGTGCCGTGGGGTTCTGTATTTCTGCACGGAGCCTGTGGCCGCGTGGCCACACCATGAATTACCTGCCCTGCGTGCCAAAGGCGTGCTCGGGGCATCGGCCAGCTCACCGTGGGCTGAGACGTGCCTGGAGCCATGGATGTCCCATCCCCGCCGTGACCTCCCGCTGTCTTCTCTTGCCCCCAGGACTGCCCCCAGCTCTTCCCCACGGAGGAGATCCTGATCCCGGTGGGAGAGGTGAAGCCCATCACGCTGAAAGCCAGAAACCTGCCCCAGCCCCAGTCCGGGCAGCGCGGCTACGAGTGCGTGCTGAGCATCCAGGGCGTCATCCACCGCGTGCCCGCCCTGCGCTTCAACAGCTCCAGCGTGCAGTGCCAGAACAGCTCGGTGAGGGGGCCGGGGGCTCGGGGTGCTGCTGGGTGCCCAGGGACAGCGTGGGGACGGGGCTGGGGCTGCTCAGGAGCCGCCAGCAGCTCCGGAGCACGGGGCTGCCTCCCGTCGTGTTTCTTTTTTAGCTGAAGCTCCCCTCCTCCCCACGCAGCGCCTTCCCAAAACAGGCTGCTGCGATGCGAGGGAGGTGGGCTCAGCATTGGGGAGGGAAGGGGATGGATGGAGCGAAAAGTCCTGGGGTTAAAGCTGGCCCCAAAGTGCAGGTGGGAGCTGCTGTGGGTGTTTTTGTGGTGCTGGCCCCGTATCTGGCGCTTCCTCGCCCAACTGCAGGGGTCAGCGAGGGGAAGGGAGGAGGAGGGAACGCACCAAGGTGTGGAGGCGAGCTGATTCACAAGGGAGAGATAAGGAGAATCGCAGACCCCTTATCAGGGAGCTGTCAAATTCCAGGTCACAGTGGCTTGATGCATACAGAAATGCTGAAACACCGCGTGGTGCGGGGAGGGAGGGGGAAGGAAAAGTGCCAGGGGAGAGAGCGCAGCAGAGGGAAGGAAATTTCGGGAGGGAGGCTGCTGAAGCAGCAGGCAGGGGAAGGCAGCTCGGCCTCAGCTTGTACAGGCTGGGGCTCAGCACTGCCAATGGACCGGGCAGGATTTGACTCAGGGGTACCCTCCCCAGGGGTTTTTCGGGGGGGCCCGGGGTCAGGCAGGGTGCGCTGGGTTTGTTTTAGGCAGCAGAACGAGGAACATCAGGGGCTGCTTTAGCATTCAGTGCAGATGGTCTTAAATTGTTAATCAAGTTTTGAATTTTTAAAAGTTTCGCTGGATATTTATCCATCACTGGCTGTCTTTGGGCCTTGCAGCTTGCTGGCTAATAAATGTATTAATACTGTGCAGTACTTCTGCTATCCAAAGCAATTTATAAACATTAGGGAAGCGCTTTTCTTCCTGTTAGGCTAATAGGAAGTGGTAGGCAGAGAATTGAAGAGCAATTCTGCTCTCATGGCTCCATCAGCCGAACAGAAGATGTGGTTTCTTAGTAAAACCCAGGCAAGGTAAATCCCTGTGACCAGAAGCAAGTTAAAACAGGGCACCTGTTACACGGAGACAACCTCTGAGCACTCTGCTTTCGTTCAGTCATCGTTCCCTCATCCCGAAGATGATGGCAGCGCTCACTTTTTAAAGATTTTTTAGCAGCTCTTGATTGACTCACGGAGAGCAGCTGAACGAGGCCTCACTGGTGCTAATGGCAATGCTGGGAATTTCAAAACACGCCGGGAATTCACGGGAAGCATCCAGCTTCTCTCTGCAGCCCCCGGATGTCCACGAGAGGGTGAATAATTCACCTCCGTGCTGTCATAGACCCGACTGATGCTCAGACATGGCAAGGCCCTCTCTGCACCATCTCCTTTTTCGCAGCTGATGCCTATTTCATCAGCCAAGGCTGTGCAGCGTGATTTCTGAGCTCCCAGTCACACCAGGGTGCGTGGTGGCTGTGTATGTAAGGAGTTAGCCCGCAGGCAGCAGGCCTTGCAGGGTGATTATCTGGAGGGGCTGTATTGATAAGCTGGGGACTGAGTGACAAGAGCAGCCGCTGCGAGTGGAATAATTAATCCATCGCCTCTCACGGGGACTAGATCTGATTTAATTATCTCTTCCTGGTGAGGAGGAGGAAGCCAAAGCAGGACCCTAGAGCTGAAGTGTGGAAGTGGTGGTGGTGGTTCAGACATCAGCGCAAGGCAGAGAATAATCACTGCTTGTTAAAAAAAAAGGAGTGTTTCCTGGTAGCATCCCCGCAGGCATCTCACTCGGGTTTCTTCCCCAGTACCTCTATGACGGGATGGACATAAGCAACTTGGCCGTGGACTTTGCTGTGGTGTGGAACGGGAACTTTGTCATCGACAACCCCGAGGACCTGAAAGGTAACGGTGCTTGGGCTCGTCGTGGCACCACGAGGGCTGGGAGGGAGGGAGGGACCTGGTGGTCCTGGGCGACCCCACGTTGGGCAGGAGCATCTCCTGCACCACGGCAGTGGGAGAACTGCTGGAAACCCCCAGACTAAAGCCCAAAAACCCACCCCGTGGGGAGAAGCAACTCATGGCGTGCCGCCCTCTCTCCCCGCAGTGCACCTGTACAAGTGCGCGGCGCAGCGCGAGAGCTGCGGGCTCTGCCTCAAAGCCGACCCCAAGTTCGAGTGCGGGTGGTGCAGCGGGGAGGCCAAGTGCACGCTGCGGCCCCACTGCAGCCCCCCGGCCGCCCAGCCCTGGCTCGACTGGTCCAGTAGGAACGTCAAGTGCTCCAACCCGCGCATCACCGAGGTAAGAGCGCCGCTGGGCTCTGCCCACCCCTGGCCCCTTCTCTCCCCATTTCGGGGGGGCTCAGGGCTGTCCCCAGCACCCCAGCACCCATCCAGAGCTGAAGATTGGGGAACAAAAATGCTCCGTTGCTGCCTGCGAAGTCACCTTGGGTGTGAGCAGGGTTTGCAGCCCCTGCCCCGCCACGTAGCTGTCACTCAGCACGGTGCTGCCGGTGGTGGGGTGACCGCTGCGGACCGGTGCAGGAATGCTAATTAAACTAGGGAGCTAATTAGTCTAGAGGTGATGTTTGTGATGTTTCCGTTCAGACCGCTGAGTCTCCCAGGAGCACTCCTACCAATAAAACCGCCCGTGGTCTGTTAACGCTGCTATTAGAAGTGACGCTCCTACCAGGTGGGAATGGAAGAAGATTTTTGTTTCTCACTTAATTAACTTCATTAACAAAATAGTCTCCCTTGCCCTGAGCGTGTGTCCGTTCTGCAGGAGGTGCAGGTGTCTCACGGTGCTGTGCCCAAGCAGCCTGTTGCCCTGCTGTCCCCGGCTGAGGAGCTGGCAGGGAGGCAGCAGGACGCGGCACACGCGCGTGCACCAGCTCAGCCAGGGGGGAAGCTTCCTCATCCCTCAGGCTGGTTTCTACACCAGGTCTGTCGGAGCAGCCCGTGCTCTGACCCCCTGGGAGGAAGGGATTCGCTTCGTTTTTATGGGAGAAAGGCCCAGGGTTTGTTGTGTTGTCTCAGGGTTAGGTGTAGGTTGGCGCTGGCTTTAAAATCTTGGACTGGAGAGCAGCACTCACTCTACAAGTGCCTGTGTTACAAACACCCTGCACGACTCACGTTAAAAGAGCATTTAAAACGGGCTGGTTTCCACTCCTTTTGCTTCATCCGGCCACTTTCACTCTTCCTCTGAAGCTGAAGGTCAAGGGCTTTGCTCCTGGGTCCAGCGCCTTTGGGGGACGCACAACTAGCAAGAAGAGATCACACTTTAATAGTCATAAAAGCAAGTGGGCAGCAGGCTGCACACAGCCTTTTTTCACCCCATCACACTGTGAGGCCTTGCCATCACCAACAGTGTCCCTTTAACAGCGTGACTTCCATGCAGGCTGTGGTCTTAGCAATAAATAAATAAAAATCAGTTTTCTTGTGAACAAGCGGCACTCTGATCTCCTATTCATTTATTTGCAGGCCTCATTAATATAACATCAGTGCAACAAACAGCTGAAGGGGGGGCAGTGTCAGGCTGAATAATGGAGTTGCTCTGCGGAGATAACAATTAGGTTCTGAATGTGCTATCAGCCGAGGCAGAGACGAGGACGGATCATGCCGGGATGACAATGCTCATGTGCTGGTCCCCCGCTGGGCTCATCAGCTGGGATCCGGACAGCTTGGATGAAAAAAAAAAAAGACAAAGAGAGCGAAGGTGGCTGAGGTTTGGGAGGGGTTGTGCCGTTGGTTGTGCAGGCAGGGTGCTCTCCTCACCCCAGCAGACGCCACCCGGTTATGGTGCCGAGGTGTCGCAGCTTCCCCCGGCTCCAGAGGGAAAGCCTTGTCCTGGGGCTCCCTGGCTCATGCACAGACTTCTGGATAAATCCTGCTTTTTGTCAAATGCTGACTGGTGCAAGGCGTGGGGCTGACAACACACAGCTCGTGTTGTTAGAGCCGTGTCTTCTGTGGGCTGGGGAGGGAAGCGGGGTGTCCCACGGGGTCCCTGGGGTGCCAGCCACGGCGTCAAGCACCAAGATCAGTGCAGGGCGGTATCCATGTCCCTTATGTACTGTGAGGGCTGGGTGCGAGGGTAACCAAGCTCCTATCACCATCCACTTCGTGTATTTGAAGCCTTTGTGGGCATAACTCAACGCTTGGCACGTGCTAAGTCCTCTCACAGAGGGACCAGGTGTTACCGGAGGGGGTGGGCTGCTCCTTAGCTCCAGGCTGAGGCAGCGAGCAGAGGTGGGCAGCTCAGGGCATCAGCACACCCAAAGGCTTTCCAGGCCCCACCTTGGATCTTGGTGGTTTTCAGCCTGTTTTCAGGACATCCTAAAAATTTTCCAGCAGAAGTATAGCCCCTTACACAGCCAGCGTATGAGTCCTGGTAGTGGCCTTGCTGTCCCGTAGCTGCCCTTTGTGGGTTTTTTAATCCTCCACTTTTAATCCAAGAGCTCCAAGGCTGAGAGCGGCTGTACCAACCACATCCCTGTGGGCTGCCCTGTGAGTTGCTGAAACACCGTTTTATTAGGGCTGATCGGGTTTGGTTTGGGTTGTTTGGGGTTTATCCCTTCCTAATGCTTCTTGTCTAGGAACAGAAACCTGGGCGGTCACCGCGGGGAGCCCTGCAGCCCGGGCAGCCCCCAGCACCACCACTGAGCACACCCGGGGGTACTGGGGTCGGGGTGCTCCTGCCGCTGGACCTTTAAGGCTCCTCGTCTTCCTGCGATTTTGACTGAATCTCCCCAGCTGTAATTAATTGAATGCATCTGTTCTAACCCTGGGGCTGCTTTATGGCACAGTTACTTCAAAACTGTTCAATTAGCGACCACTAAAATCTAGGTCGAGTGGAGCTCCGTATTGGGGATTTTCCAGGTCAGGACATTTTCAAAATACAGGATCAGCCCTGCTTTGTTTGGCAGGGCCGTTTGGCTCCGCTGCTCGTGGTAAGGTCAGGAAATGGCAAACTGCGACTGCTTTCTGGAGAGGGGAAGGGGCCAACGAGCCTGGCAGCGCAGGCGCTGCAACAAAACACATTTTAGAGTAATGTGGAGCTGCAAAGGACAGTTGTAGCTGTCAGGTACGTGAACTGCCGAGCTCAGGTGATTCCCAGTTAGCAGCACGAGCCTTCAGGACGCAGTGTAATGCAATACGGCTCGATTTTGTGCCGTGTCTTTGTGGGCACACAGTGCTTGGCGGAGCTAAATGATACAGGACGGGACATGCTCTGCGCTACGAGGCAGAGAGCAGCAGCACAGCAGGCAGGGTGTGATGAAGGGATCAGAAACCCCCTTTGTTGATCGGAGGAGAGGGAGGTAGAAGTTGGAGCACGTGCAGAGGAAAGCCGAGGTGCTTTGGGATGCAGTGATGCCCACACCTGGGCACAGAGAGCAGGCTGAACCCCAGCACATTTTGCCAGATTCGGTAACAGAGCCCTGAACAGGAGCAGAGGTGGAGAGCAAGAAGTTGAGACATAAGGATGGGAGGAGGAAAACGGCTCAGCTGAGACCTGAAATGTGGCAGAAGCAGGGAGGGCAGGGAGGTAGGAGGGTGCTGGGGGGTCCTGCACGTGTTGGCAGCTTGCAGGGGATGGGAAGGGGATGGGGAACGTGCAGCACACATGGGGCTATGAGGAGGGTGCAAGGGGGGCTGTTTTGGGGTGCCCCACAGGGCAGCAGGATGCAGGCACGCTCTGGGTCTGGGGCTTGTGCCTCTTCTGAAGCTGCTCACGAGCAGGGAACAGCGAGCTCATAGGAAGGTGGAGGGAAAGCTGCCAGGCAGCCAGAAACACTGAGGAGGGGGACCTGAGGAGCTGCAATCTGTTGCCAAAGACAAAGGTGGAACCGACAAGCATAAACAAGATTTATCCATTAAATTAATTAAAGTGCATTATTATAGATTGTTTGTTTATTAATAACAGCTGTAGCATGGAGAAGATCCGTAACTCACCCAAGAGCAATAACAGGCCGGTGGCAGATTCAGAACGATTGTTGGAGAGTCTTGGGTCCAAGTCCTGTGACTGTACGTTGGTGTAATTTATACTGCTCATGGGCGAGGATATTGTCCTTGATGAAAGTCTATAGAAGCAGGGCTGATTACGGCTGAGGTAGGCTATAAACAGGCAGCTTTAAAGCACACACCTCGCCCTTTAACATTTCTAAGTCACTCGAGGTGCCAACTTCCTAATAAAATGTGATATTAACATTCAGGGAACGGCCGAGGCAGAAGTTAACAAGGTTCTGCAAAGCAGCGGGCAGCTTCTGGAAGGTTACCCGCAGTCTGTCGTGTAGTCCATGAAAAAGGAGCCGGGTTTATTCTGTCTGCGGAGTGGCGTTGTCCAAGCTCCAGGCTCAGGGACCCTCGATGTCCCCTCTGAGGAAAAAACGGGGGTTTTGGCTTTGTCAGCTTCTCTGGGGTGCCCTTGGTGGCTGCGGCAGGAGGTGCCCGTGGTTGGGTGGGGGACGCGGTGCGCACAACAGGGGCTCCTTTCCCAGCCAGACACGGGGCTCCCGGGGGAACCAGCTCCCTTTCCCTCCCGCAGCTTGACCCGTGTTGTGCTTCCCTCTAGATCCTGACGGTGTCGGGCCCCCCGGAGGGAGGCACCAGGGTGACCATCCGCGGCGTGAACCTGGGCCTGGACTTCTCGGAGATCGCCCACGGCGTGCAGGTGGCCGGGGTGCCGTGCGCGCCGCTGCCGGAGCAGTACGTCGTCGCCGAACAGTGAGTGGCCTCGGGGACATCGCCTCTTCCCCAGCCTCCAAAATAACTCCTCCAATAACTCCTCCAGCCCCTGGTGGTTCCTGCACCCGCTCCAGCTCTGCAGAGCTGCAGGAACGGGTCCAGAGATGGATGGTGCCCCTGCGGCCGGGAGGGGACAGGGTGCTTGGATGGTATCCTGGGGGTCAAACAGCCCTTTAAGCTTTCATTAAGCGTTTTGTTCCCTTCCAGGCGGCAGTTCCTGCTTTGCTAAGCAACTTTTCTGATGAGCACCTTGCTGTTGATGCTGAGCCTCTCTGCCCCCTCCGCTCCCCCTCGCACTTGAAATTCAGCCGGCGCCACCGGCTGCGCGCAGCCATTTGTTAGGCATGTGAGGTGGTGACAGCCCCTTAATCCAAATGGGCCTCCGCTGGAGTCAATTCATTTATTTCACTAAGAAAAACGTCAACCAAAAATTAGAAAATAGGCATGTAACAGAAGATGGGCGAATAAACCTCCCACGGTGACACCTGGTCCTGCTGCTGCCTGGGGGATTGCTCAGGTCAGCCGTGCTGCTGGGGGTCATCAGCGCCGGGCAGGGGAGCTGCAGTGTGGGAAGCGTCCCCATGGGCCCTCCCATGTCACCTGCTGGGGACTAGGGTGGCTGCAGGGATGTGGCAGCTCCCCAGGGATGGCCACCAGCAGCACGGATGTGCCTCAGCTCTGGCAGTGGCTTGAGGCAGTTGTCATCTGTTGGTGACATCCCATCGGTGGCCCCAGCGCAGCAGAAGCACCCATCACTGGGATGCGTTGGCACTGGTTTGTTGTTTGCTTGCTCCCCAGCACCATTTTCCCTACCTGCAGCCCAAATCCCCTCCTCTTGGAGGGGAGCAGTTGGTCGGTTGGTGTTCTCCAGCCACAGGGTGAAGGGTGCTGTGGCAGCCCAGCACCGCCAGCGTCAGCGCAGCCGTGGCTCCCGGCGCGCACCGAGCACGCCGTTGGTGCTCGTGGCCTGGGCTGTTCTGCTGAGCGGCATTTTGTTTTATTTTATTTTTCAAATAAAAGGCAGAATATTATAAAATTGTCCTCCTTTGATGGTATGAAACCCTGATTTTATAATCATGACTCTAATTACGGCTCTTGAGCTTTCAAAGTTTGTTAACATCATTAAAACATTTACCCTGGGCAGATAACAGCAAGCGTTAGCATGAGAGCTGCCTTTTAAAGATGAATACAGATAAAAGGGCCCTCTTTAGGCTTCTGTGGGCAGACTGAATTCCAAGACTGTAATGACTCACCATATGCTCCAGCCACGCAATCTATCAGCCAGCAATTAGGTTAATGTTGGTGAAAGGGCCACTTAGCCCAGCAATCAGCACCCTACAGCTCTGCCGAATGCATCATTTTGTAACAAGGTACCTGCTGGGGATTTGGCTTTTATCAGAAATCAGGATCAGGTGTACCGGGGTCACTCGTGCCCCTGTCCCTCACTCTGCATCCTGCCTGGTGCTGTACCAGAGATGCTCTCCATGCCCTCGGCTGCTGCTTCAGGGGCCAACAGCTGAGTGTTTGGTGTTCCCCCCGTGCGTAGCCCTTGGTGTGTGTCTCTCGAGCGGGACTTTTTTTGCCAGCCTGCTGCAGGAGTACAGATTGCTGCTCCCAGGCTGCAGTCCTCTGCCCTGACCCTCGCTGAAACGCAGCCTCCTCGGCGCTGGCTTGCAGGAGAAGTAACGAGGAGGCAGGCGGAGGAGGGAGAGGTGCCCGGGCGATGGCTGGCTGAAAGGCAGAGCAGAGCACGTGGCAGATTAAGGCTTGCAGCTGAGATGCTTCCCTTTCTGTTCTGCAAAGGCAGCGTCTCTCTAGGCAACCTGTTTTGATCTGCAGCAATAAGGACTTTCACACGAGAGCTCTTTATTAGCATGTATGTATTTCGTTAGGCCTCCTGGCATCACCTGTGCATGCTGTTTGCAGGTTCTTTCTTCCTTTCGTCTTTTTATTTTAGTTTGCTCGCAGTGGATTTAATGCTGCTGAAGGCTGCCGAAATGCTGCCTGCACAAATTGGATCCTTTCATGCGTTTGCACACGATCAGTGGAAAAGCAAGCATTTCCCCTGCCACTTTGCAAAAGCACCTTCAGCCTCAGCAGGGAAAGAAAATTCTGTTTTTTTTTTCCTCCAGCTCTGGCTCTCAGGCCAGGCACTGACAAGCATTTCCTTGCCTTCATCACCTCTCCCTGTGCCGGGGCAGGTTACTCCTCGTATCCTCGGGTTCCCAGTGCCTGGCTCAATGCTCTCCGCTTTCTTCCCAGCATTGCCACGGGAGCAAGCAGGGGTCTTTAAGGGGTTTTTAGCTTAGCTTAGGTCTAGATAAAGAGCTCAGCCAGCTGATGTCCCTGTGGAAACCTCTCCCTGCACCCATGACAAACGTGCTGGGCCCTCGACCACCACCATGCACCCCTGCAGCCCCTGCCCGAGCTCCCGATGTCACCTTGGGGTGCCCCCGAGGGGCTGAGCTGGATGCAGGCGAGCACAGGATCCGTGTCTCTGGTTTCCACTGACTCCATCCACCAGCATCAGCATGCTCAGCCCTGTCTCCACGGCAAAGCCTGCTCGCCGCGTCTGTCTCTATCATCCCCGAGCAGGTTTCTCCATTTTTGATTAACTGGGAGACTGCAGTGTGAGCTGTTCCCTTAATGAACTCATCTGTTACTCTAAGGACTTCGCACTCACTTTGCTACTGGCTAATATATTGCCATTAGTGCTCTGCTTTGCTCTGGAGTTTACAGCTTGTAATAATTATGTCTAATTTTGATTTTTTTTCTTTAAATTACTACATGGGGTAAAAATAGACTCAGTAATTAACTTCTTTCAAAGAGGCAGATATCAAAGTTAAAGAGGGGAGAGGGAAAAAAGAAAAAAAAAAAAAAAAAGAACCCAGCTCGGCACAGGGCGCTGCTGGCACCTCCTGACAAAGCCTCGCTGCCTTTCTGCTTCCAGGATCGTCTGTGAAATGGGGCAGGCGCTTCCAGGGATCAGCTCCGGCCCAGTGCTCCTGTGCATCGGAGAGTGCAAGCCCGAGTTCACGGCCAGGTCTGCGCAGCAGTACTCCTTCGTGGTGAGTGCCCTGCGAGGCGGGGAGCGCCCTGCGAGGCTCGGGCTCTGCAGGGCCACGCAGCGAACGCTGGGGCTCCGACACCAAAAGGCAGCCCCAGATTTTTCAAATGCTTTCCCCATAGTGTGGCACGAGCTGTTTGTTTGGAGCTGCCCAGTCAATGAGCCCAGTTTTCAGGATGCAAAGCTTGTGTGGGTCTATGGAATAGGCAGGATTTAGGTGGGAACCTGCAACCAGGGTTTCCACAGCATTTGTTTTCAGCTTTGCACCTCCAGAATAGCGATAACCCTTGACTTGCTGGGCTGAGTTACTCCCTGCAAAGCGCGTTGGTGTACTCAAAGCAGGAGCACTTCGCAAAGCGTGGCTTTGTTCTATACCCAAGGGCTTTTCTGTGCATAATCTTGCCAAGGAATTGGAGCCAGGATTCACATTTTTTATCCTGTCTTGGGTAAGGAAGAGTAATGAAGGAGCGTTGTTACTTTGGGTCTTAGCTAAAAGGCAGAACAATAATCAGGAGCCAGTGGAAGGCAATAGCTGCGATGAGTCGTGGAGTAGTACCCTGCAGTAACCTGGTAAGCACACGTCGAGCATTATCCTTTGCATTGTTGCTTCTCATTTTCAGCACTCAATCGTTTCTTTTTTCAGGCACCTCAAACTTCGCATATATCATTTCCTTTTGTTACTCGGCCTCTTATTTTTTCTCTTCGGCGCCGCCACAAATTCCATTACAGCTGGTTCACGCCGTTAAAGTCAGTAGTAAAAGTGATTGGTACCTTAAAGCAGAGCTGTGCTGTGACCCTGGGAGGCTCCGAGCCTTGGTGAGCTCATCTGGTGTCTGCTACCAGGCGGGAGCTGTGCTCGCACCCTAATTACACCCATTTCGTCTGGGGATATGGAACCTTGGAGCTGCTTCGGATCTGTAAATCTGTCACAATTATCACCAATTCATGAGCTGGAGGTGGAAAATTCCCGTATAGCTTTCAGACCCTCATCCGGTGCCAGCCTCGCCCCAGGACTGGTTGGTTTTGCAGGTCTCTGGTTTGGGCCCTCAGCTCTGCAGCTGCTCGGGGTTGCAGCCCCAGCTTCTGGGCCTGGCAATGCTTTGAATTTTGGAGGATTGTGAGAGGCTGGAGCTGAGGAACGTGTGAAGGACCCGCTCTGGGTGCCCCTGGGCTCCCACAAGCAGCCTGTCCCCAGTGCAGAGCCAGCAGCGGGAAGAAGGAATTTCCCCCCCTGTAAAATTATTCCATAATTATCCACAACGGGGTGGATTGTGCGTTTTTCATAGGAGTGAGGAGTCAGGGTCAAACAGGCTTTTGGTCTGAGCTGCTCTGCAGGCACTGCACACCCAAAAAAGCCCAGTTGTGTTTGGAAAGGAGCACAAAGGCAGCGAGCTGCCAGGCAGGTGGCACCGAGGGAGTGGTGCTGGGAGGCTGCCAGCTGCAGATGAGAGTCATAAAGAGGGTAATGGGGAAGCATTAGTAAAACAATTTGGTTAGATCCGCTGATGGAAAACAAATAAAAAGGTACCATCCTTCTGCAAATTCCATTACGGGGGACAAATAGCTATCAGGAGCACGAGGCAGGATAAAGAGGTGGCACTGCTGCAATGATATCGCTGACAAAACGTCGAGGGGGATGTTAGCGCACGCAGCGCGATGCCTTCCCATCGGCTGGGGGACGCAGGCTCTGCCCCCACGGTGCCAGCACGCTGCTGCACACGAGGCTGGGGCTGCTGGCTGCGTTTTGTTAACGTGGTCTGGTATTTCCCACTGCCGTGCCCTGGTTTTAGTTTGATTTTTTATGCTTTACCACGGCGGCAAACTTCAGACACTTGTGTTTGGATCTCCACTGTGGCAGTTCGCTTGCTTCGCACGCCGGTTCAGTTTTGAAACCGCCAAGCAAGCAGCTGGCTTTATTTATTTACTGGGGAATAAAGGCAAAGGTAGGTACTTTATTTTGCCCAGGCTGAACTTGCAGTTACTTCACCGAGGTGTGTCTCCTTCCCAGCAGGGCTCAACATTTCAGCAGGAGGTTTGTCAGGCGTCCAGGACACATCTCCTTATTGCTGTTCCTCTTAGAAAAGGGTTTTCTTTTGCTCCCCAGACACAGGCAGGAGCACTGCTGACCTTCTTGTCTTCTCACAGACGCCGGCCGTGAGCTTCCTGACACCCAGCCGTGGCCCTGAGTCGGGCGGGACGCTGGTCACCATCGCCGGGCACCACCTGGGCGCCGGCAGCCGCGTCTCCGTGCTGCTGGGGAACCAGAGCTGCACCTTCCAAGGGTAAGGGGCTGAGCCCAGCCATGGGGCTGCTGTAGCTGAGCACACATCAACAATTTGTGAGCCTCAAAAACGCATCTGGGGACCCCTGAGAGCTCCCCTGCTTTCACTTATTTTGTGAAGTTGTCATCGTTTCTGTTGTCACTGAGCCTTACTTGGCGAGGGATGGGGCACATCTGTAGCAGTGCTGGCCACTGCTTGGTTATAAGGCTTTAACTGGTCCAAAAATCTCAGGCAAACAGCACTGCAGTTGTAAAATGTTTATAGCAGTCCTCGGTACCTGCCCCCAGACTGGTGTGATCTGACAAAAATGTAATATTTATAGAACCACAGAAACATTTGGGTTGGAAAAGACCTAAAGGTCCTCAAGTCCAACCGCTAACCTCGCACAGCCAAGTCTGCCACTGAAGAAATGTTTTGACAACCATCAGGTTTCTCTTTTCACACACCAGCACCTCACACAACTTCCGTTGCAGCCCCTGCTGTGGGGGTCTGCCCCTTCCAAAATTCATCAGAGCTGGGGGGGCCCCACGTGGCGGAGCAGAGCCGGGATCCTCACCCGCCTGCTGCCAGGATCACGCACAGCCACAAGTCTCCCCCTCGGGACATCTATGGCAAATTTGCTTTTTACCCAGCAGTGTAAACGCTGAGTTGACATTTGCAGGGTTTAATGGGTTTTCTTGAGGCTTAGTTAAAAAAAGACACCAGCAGTGTACATCTGTGTGCATCGCCTGCACACCCTGCACTGGGCGCACCCCGGTCCCACTGGGTGCCACTGGGTGCCACTGGGTGCCGCGTGTACCCACGAGCCTGAGCCAGGAGCCTGAGCTGCTAGGCACTATCTCAGAGCCCGTGCCCACTCCCTGCAGGCTGGGGCCTCCCTCTGCTTTTTCTCTGTGGCTTTCAAGCCCTGGAAATGCCCAGAAACCCGACAGAAGCTGTGTGATGTGTGCAGGGATCCTGCCTTCTAAAGCCCAGCTCAGGCTGCCCAGGAGGATGGAAGGAAGTTTCTGGGAATGCAATGACCCCTGGAGGTGAATTTCTCATCTGGAAGACTGCGAGGTTCAAGATTATGGGATCTGTGAACGCACAGACATGGGAACGTGTTGGGATATTAGCAGTGATCATTCCCTGCCCATCTTCAGCCCTACCAAGCACCACGGGAGCAGGCTGGGGCTTGGCCTTCCCTGCGCGTGTCGTGGCATCGGATAAACCTGGCACCATGGTGTGGGGCCAGTGGAAATGCTGAACATCAACAATTATTTATTCCATCAGCCTCAGAATAGCTAAACAGCTTCTTGGTTCCCACTTCATGGTGCGGATGAGAAGGGGAGGATTATGAAGAGCCTGTTAATGAGGAAGGGTTTAATGGACTTCCTCAGCTCTTGTGGTGTGCCCGGTGTCTGGCTCTGTATCTGAGAAAAAAGGAACTGAAGGACATTGGAGGCATTGATGGCATCTGTTGCTCCTTTTATACTTCCTTTTCTTGGATGATTCCCTCTGCTGAGCCCTGTGCAGGGGTGTTTGGAAAGCTCCGAGAGCCTGCCAGGTCCCAGGTGGCACTGACATGGCAACGCTGCACCACGGAGCCTGTCCTGTGCCGGATGGCACCCACGGGGACAGATCCCAGCCAGAAGTTCAGAAAGGACACGAGCCTCACACCACTCCCAGCCCTGCTGCTGCACTCATCTCCCCACCATCCCCACCCCAGGAGTGGAAGGAGGACTCGGGCACGTGTGGGGTGCTCCAGGAGGTGTGGGCATGCTGCAGACGAGCTCTCCGAGTGCTAAGTATTGCTGCCCACCACCCAGCAGCATTTCCTCCCGTATCCGAAGCCGAGATGCCAGATTGGCTCCTCGCCGCACGCAGGTGACTGCGTTACCATCAGCACCAGCAGCCTGCAAGCCAGCCTGGGGGCAGAATTAGCCTTGTAATAAAATCCCTTAAATATATGATTATATCCAGGCAACCTGCAGACACTGACCTGCAAAACCTGGAAGCGCTCTGAAGTCTCGGCGTGTTCTAATTACCCCAGGCAAGCAGAAACTTAAACAAAACAAGCGGCAGTGTATAAATGACTCCATCCTTCTCGAGGGGTCACACTGTGCACTTTGTTTTGCTTGGACTGTTTGGAGGCAATGAACTTCAATTGTACGGGAGGGTGTGGGGGAGCTTGATTAGATGAAGCGGTTCCTAATGAGATTCACTCTAATTACAGCTTCCCCCATTCTCGCGCCTCTGATCGGAGGAGTGGGTAGATTCACCATGACGACACAATAATAGCACCGAAAGCTAATTAACTGCTCGCGGGGAGCGGGGAGCGGCGGTGCCAGCGGCCGTGCGTCACGCCGGGGCTCCCGCCCGAGCCGAGGGGCAGGGAGAGGCGGCGCGAGCGTGCGACGGGGCATAACGGGGGTGGCAGGCGGGGGGCACGGGCAGCAGGCGTATCCAGAGGAGCAGCCGAGGCTGGTTTGCTGCGGATGCTTCAGGAGCTTGTTGCTGTTGCCTCGGTTGCGCTGGGCGGGCGGAGGTGTGAGGCTGGAAGCAGCGTGGTGCTGGCAGATGCCCTCCGAAAAAGCCTGGTGTGGAGCGGTGCCTTCCTCAGGGAGGTGATGGGGATGCAAGGACCCGGAGAGGGGACAGAGGGGACCACAGCACATAACTCCCATGGAGACACCACTGGAGGCAGCGTGGAGGAGTGCCAGTTTTGGTCCAAGTGCCGTAACAGCAGCGAGATGCTGAAGAGCTGCCTGTCCTCTCCCCTGTGCCTGCAGGAGAGGAGCCAAAGCTCACCGAGCCATGGAGGCAGTGTGGCCTTTTCCTTGGGGCTAGAGCAGAGACACAGGCGTGGGCAGGGGGCTCCCAGGGACGTGGCTGTGTGGCCACGAGCAGCTCCATCCTCGCTGCCATCCCCTCGGCCCTGCAGCAGGACAGCACAGCCCGTTCTCCTTTTCCATCCACTGCTCGACTCCCTTGAGCTTTGCCAGTGCCACGTTTCCCAAGCTGGGGCTTCCGCGGGTCTGTCCCACTGCTCACGAGGCCCCGTGTGTGCTTTGGGTGTGTGGGGGGGGGAAGAATTTGGCTTTTGAGCGAGTTTAGGCATCCCGTTGAAAAAGCAGCCATCTGCTTCCACACGCCCAACAGAAGGCAGCAGGTTCAGAGAGGGATGCGGGAGGCTGCAGTTTGGCACCAAAAGTGCTTTTCGCTTCTTTCCGGGGAGGCAGGCGGAGCCGCCACTCGCGTGGAGCTGCGGGGCTTGACGGGGTTTGGGGGCTGCCCACTGACTTTTCCCTCTGCTTCTCCCCTGCACAGGAGGTCCACGAACGAGATTGTGTGCATGTCGGCCCCGTCAGCCCACGGCCTGGGGCCCGTCCACGTCTCCGTGAGCGTGGACCGGGCCCAGCTGGAGCAGACCTTGCTGTTCGAGTACATCGACGACCCCAAGGTGCAGCACATCGAACCCGAGTGGAGCATCGCCAGGTAACGGAGCTCTCACAACACATCACGGGGAGACCTCGCCTGGTCTGGTGGTCTCCTCCGGGTGAGGATGAAAGAGGGACAGTTGGGGATTACACGTCCCATCCAGGGTCCTGCATTCATCAGTGCTAGACGTCTGCAGCACTCGTGTTTACTGAAAATCAGGCCCAGAGTTGCTCAAGTCGTTGCAATTACCAAGGCAATTACAGCAGAAGCAGCCCGCACCGAGGTTCTGGGAGCACGAATAAAGCCCCAAGAACGCTTCCATCTGCTGAAGAAGTGCACAATTGCTCATTAAAGGCTTCTTTTTGTAGTTGGGGGATAAAACAAAACCAGCAGCCACCAAGAAAGGAAAAAGCTGATGCTAATCAAAACGCACAGTTTGTCCAAGATTGACTGCTAGGGACGGCAGCAGGCGCTGTCACGTCGCCGTGACGTGGTCGCTGCTAAAAACCCTGGGCTCTGCTCATCCCCTGGCTCTGCTTTAATGGCTGCGCTCACGAGGGATGTAACACAGCCGTTCCTCTCAAATTCCAATTATTTTTTAAAATTGCCCATGAAAGGAGGAGGTGTCTCGCAGCAGGCTCTGCGAGATGTTTGCTTTGAGCCCCAGTTCGGGATTGCCGCTTGGTTGGGGTGAGACGGGGGCGATGGGCTTGTCAGAACTGCTGGGAGATGGTCTGAACAAAGCAGCCAGCCTCTGCTGTAGAGGAGCTGGAGATTTGGGTGGATTTGGGCATATTTGGGCCATGCTGCTGCAATGAACACATGAAAGAAAAAGTTGTGAGCTGTTGCTGCCAGCTGCTCGGGCTGGGCTGCAGGTCCCCAGTGTCATCTGGTGCCCCCACATCTTTATGAGCATCTTTCTGAGACCGATGAGCATCCCCATGGCCAGGCACAGCCCTGGCCCCATCCTCCTGCCGGTCACTAACCTCCTGTCTCCCGGTTCTCCGCAGCGGGCACACGCCCCTGACCGTCACCGGCTCCAACCTGGACGTCATCCAGGAGCCGCGGATCCGCGTCAAGCACAACGGCAAGGAGTCCGTCAATGTAAGTGCTGCTGCTGGGCTGTGTCCCTGTGCCGAGCCGTACAGCGGGACCCCTTGCTCTTGTACGGTACAGACCAGAATTGTACCTCCAGTGCACTTGGAAATTGTTTTGACCCTGGTAAAACTGAAAAATACCCCTTCTACGCTGTGATCTTTCTGTATTGTCTTGGAAAGGGCAGATCAGTGAGCAGTCTTTTCCTATTCACTCTCTCCCTTCCCCCTGAAGACCTTTTTCTTCTGAGCTCTTTTTAAAAACATCTAATTTTGTTGTTAGCGGTTGCGGTTACAGCGTTACAAAAATAATTCTGAAGGCACAGAATTGAGCGAAATTAAATCTTCCACTTCGAGCTTGGGCCCTGGCTGCTCCATAAGGCGAGAGCCTCATAAATCATCGGCTCCCTGCTTCCAGGGCTGCAGGAGCCGTGGGTGTCCTCAGCCCAGCAGGAGCTGACCTGGGCTGCCGGGGGGTCGTTCCCGTCTCCCCCAGCACCAGGGAGCTGCCTCTAATCACCGATTTGTAGCAGAGGCCAGGTATTCGTTAAGGGGCTGCTTCAAAGCTGGCGATGCCCACGAGGCTGCAGCGGGAAAGGAAAAGAGCAAGTGATCGGGTATGCAGTCCTCCAGCTGCCTTAAAACACCTCTCGCTTTGAAGCTCTCTCCATCTCTGCTCCCGTGCCTGTGCTGGCTGGAAGGGAAGCAAATTCCCCCAAACTACGGGCGCAAAGCGTTGATGAAATATTTCCAGCAAAGCCTGAATCCACCGGAGTTTTCAGGGAGCATTTGAGGACTGAGAACATCACTGTGCAAGTCAGAACGCACCAGCACAGGGATGAGTTTTTCCCCGCTGCTGCCCACAAGTCCCAGAAAAGCGTTTTGTCTTTTTTACAGGTCTGCAAGGCGGTGAATGCCACGGCGCTGGCCTGCCTCGCACCCGCCCTGGCCCCCGAGCACCGACCCGGCCTGGATGCCGTCGAGCGGCCCGATGAGTTCGGCTTCATCTTTAACAACGTGCAGTCCCTGCTGGTCTACAACGACACCAAGTTCATCTACTACCCCAACCCCACGTTTGAGCTCCTGAGCCCCACCGGGGTGCTGGAGCAGAAGCCGGGGTCACCCATCATCCTGAAGGTAGGAGACCTCTGCCAGCCTGGCGGGGTGCTGTGGGTGGTGTACTCAGGTCCTGCAGAGCAAAATGGGGGGCAAAATAGTTTCATATCTGTGCACACCCTATGGCTCTTACCAACATAGCTTTGTAAGGTAAAACCCAGGCCCTGTCCCATATGGTTGGATCAGTAAAGCTGTTGCAGCTCTACATGCAATTGGCTGTGCAAAAAACCTATCTCCAGGAGGAAGCGGGGCTTCTGCTAAGGGGACCCAGAAAGCAGGGGGTGAGGGAGGAGTTTTGTGCCCCTTTGGAGAACGGGAAACACCCGGAGGAGCCCCAGCATTTGTGCAAGGAATGGAAACCAGAGGAACGCACCGCATCTCTGTACAGTCTTCTCCACCTCTGTTGCCAGGGCAAAAACCTGTGCCCGCCCGCTCCTGGGGGAGCCAAGCTCAACTACACCGTGCTGATCGGAGAGACGCCCTGTGCCGTCACCGTGTCCGAGACCCAGCTGCTGTGCGAGCCTCCCAACCTCACCGGACAGCACAAAGTGACGGTAGGGACCGGCCGCTCCACTTGGCAGCCCTTCCTCCCTGCCTCCTCCTCTTCCTCCTCCTCCCTGCCCTGCTCGGGTACCGAGTTCAGTTCCCTGTCCCAGGACCAGTAGGATTTTAGGTCTTTATGGCTAATTGGAAGCTTAAAATATTGGTGTGGAAACATCTTATTGCCTCCTTGAGACTTGCTGCCCCCTGTCAGAGCCTTCCAGAAGGAAGAAATACTCGGCGTTCAGCACCAGTTCCCATCCTTTCCCTGGTGTCGCTCGCTCTCCCTGCAGGAATGGCGAGGCGAGTGTCAGCGCTGCGTTCCCCCTCCTGCAGGACAGGGAAGCATTTTGTCAGCCCTTGCAGCCAGACCCGCTTTGCCAAGGGGATAGACAGAAGGTTTTGGCTTTTCCTGAGGTAGAAGGAGCCAGCAGTGTCTGAACACCGGACTGCCTGGATCAGCAGCCCCGTCCAGGCTGACAGTCGGTGCCTTCGCTTCGGATTTGGGCGCTGCTGCTTTCCCTCATCCACTCGCAGACCAAGCACGCAGCTGCCGAAATGCTTGAGCAGAGCCCAAATGAGATTGTAATTGTGATTTATTTCTCGTGAAGTTCAGCATCCAAACCATATTCAGATTATCACAGCGTGACGCACAGCAGCGCAACCTGGCCGGGAGCTGCTCGCATCTGTGGCCCGGGCACGGCCAAGAAAAGCCAGCACCGCCGTCAGCCTCGGCGCATTCATTCCGTGGCGTTTGCTCATGGCTCTTCCCCTCTCCTCCTTCCTTCCTCCCTCCCCATTTAGCTCGGGGTTCTTGTCAGGGCAATTGTCACCGGCTTGCTAATGTCCACGGGTTACAAAAGGGGCCTGAAAGCTGTAAAATGAAAGGCAAATGGAGCCATCAGATAAAACGAACAGAGCCCTGATAGCGGAGGGCTGGCACATTTATCATGACTCGAAGCCTCGCTGCGTTCACAGGAGCTGAACCCTTTGTTTCTGATGGTGACCAGCTCTGTGTTGGCCAAGGATGTGCTGTGCCTCTTCCCTGGGCATCTGTAGGGCATCTGGGGCCGGGAGAGAGGGGCTTGGGGCCGGGATAACACCCCAGCAGAAGTCTCTGCTCACCCCGCTGTGCTTTGCAGGTGCGTGTTGGTGGCATCGTCTTCTCCCCTGGCTCGGTGAGCATCAGCTCCGACAGCCTCCTCACCCTGCCGGCCATCGTCAGCATCGCGGCCGGCGGCAGCCTGCTCCTCATCATCGTCATCATCGTGCTCATCGCCTACAAGCGCAAGTCCCGGGAGAACGACCTGACCCTCAAGAGGCTGCAGATGCAGATGGACAATCTGGAGTCCCGCGTGGCCCTGGAGTGCAAGGAGGGTCAGTACCGTGCTGCCCCGTGCCTGGATGTCGGCCCTCCCTCACCCCGGCAGCCCTTCCCCTCCCTTTGCTCCCTCCCCTGGCCCCCCTGCCCTGGCCCTCACCATGTCCCACCCCGATGTTACAGGGGTAGATGTAGGGCTGGGACAGAAACCCTTTGTCATGTCGTACATCCCTGTGAATGGCTGAATCCAGCTGGAAAGGTGCTTAGTGGATGAAAAACAAATAAACAGAAAGCTGCACATTTCAGTGTGACCTCTGGATGTATCGATAGGTGCATTGGATTTGTTCAGCTGACTTTAAAAGGGCAGCCTTGGAGGTGTGAGACAAAGCAGGAGTGATATTCAGGAGAGCCCACAGGTTTGTCATGGGCACAGCCTGGCTGGGCATGGTGTCCTCCTGGGCCAACGTTTTGTGCTCTGGAGAGCGAAGAGCAGGGCACGTGTATGGCCGTGACATCCACGCTGAGGTCATGTCACGAGAGGAGGAATAAATTCCTTCCTGACCCCTGCAGCAGGCAGCTTCTGCTTGGGTTTGCTCTGCATCAGATTTGATTCTTTTGGTAACTGGTGGTGGAGGAGGAGGAGAGAAAATAAGGGAGGCACCAAGTTATGAAAATAGATCCTCATTTCTATCTGCAGCCTCTAAAGGTGTTTTAGGTGTGTGTACACAGGTGTGAACTGCATACAAATTAATAAGCATCTTTTGTTCTCGGCGTCTGTTCTCTGCAGGCTGTGCTCTTGGCTGCTGAGGGCGACTCTCCGAGGGTGAGGGTCTGAGCTAGTGGCAAGGTCTGCTTGGCGTCTGCTGCTGGTGTGGGGGCAGGCAGCTCGCCCCGAGCCTCAGCCCTACAGCCTCGGCTCCCCAAGCTCACATCTGACCGTGCTTCTGTTCGTGTTCTCCCCAACAGCCTTTGCAGAGCTGCAGACAGACATCAACGAGCTCACCAGCGACCTGGATCGCTCCGGCATCCCCTACCTGGACTATCGGACGTATGCCATGCGGGTCCTTTTCCCTGGCATCGAGGACCATCCCGTCCTGCGGGAGCTGGAGGTAAGGGACGGGCAGTGCCCTCCGCGCCGTCTTGGTAGAAGCCCTGGGGTTCTCAGCAGGATGAGCCCCGAGCTCATTTTAACAAAGAACCTGGTGCTCTATCACCATCACACACTGCTTGCTTCCTCTTTCCCAGTGCTGCTTTGGTTTTCTTTTCTCGGTTTGCACATTGCTGTAGGGCAGCAGCAAAGCAGCCCAGGGAATTCCTGGTGTCCTTCGAAGCGCTCCGGCCCCAGAGCCGCCTCCTGCTGCTGTTCGCGGCGTGCCCACAGGAGGGCAAGCGCCTGGCCGGCCTCTGGCTGTGCCGTCAGCACCTTGCTCCTCTCCTGCAGGGCTTTACTGAGGTGCCTGAGTGCTCAGTGTGAGGGCTAATTAATATTTGTGCATCAGATTAGATTCCTTCCCAGCACGGAGCAGTTGCTGCCATCGAGCCGGCGTGTTCAGCCGTGCTCCTGTGCCCCGAGTGTCCTGGTCCCACACGTTTCCTTTGCTGCTTCGGTCACCAAATAAGCTAGCAAATATGAATGCTTCTTATTTGTTTTACTCATGAAAAACAGAACAGCAGAAGTGATAAATGTGTTGCCAATTACACAGTTGCTTAATTACGTAACGTCAGTAAAGCCAATACATAAGTCTCCAAGATGTTTGGTAAAGAGTTGCTTAACGCTGTTCATCATTTCCATTCGTAATGAATTACTCGAGTCTGGAGCTGGCTGAAAGCCTCAATTAATTTTTTATACTTGTCCCATAATAAAGCAATAGTCTAAATTGGTATTTAATTTACTTATAAGAGCGTCACTTTTTGTGCAGAACAAGCAAAATCGTACATCATTTATAGGGCCGTTAGCCTCAAAGCAGCAGCTTTATGGCAGGCAGAGTGCTCAGAGCAGCGATGGAGATGTGCTGGGGGGCTGGGGGAGCGCAGGAAGGGCGATGTTAGCAGTGGCTCAATGTGCAGAGCACGTTTGGGGTGCTGAGAGGCAGAGTTTGGGTGTTTCTTGTGCGCCCAGGGCTAAACCAGCCACACAACCCTTGGTCCCCATGGCAGCACCAGCAGGGCTGTGGGGCACGGAGTGGTGTCCCCATGGCAGTGTGGGCTCTGTCCTAGGCAGGAACAGCGGCATCAGCCCTGCTGTCATCACCCAGCTCTTGGGGGATGCTGCTGGTCCCAGTGCCTTGGTCTGAAACTAACAGGGCTCCGTTGTCCTGTGCCAGGCTCGTGGTGGACCACAGTTGGAAAACTCGGGGCTGTGCTGTGCACGTGTTCCCCTCTGATCCTTCGCCCTTCTGACGGGTGCTCTCCTCCACCGCAGGTCCAAGGGAATGGGCAGCAGAGCGTGGAGAAGGCGCTGAAGCTCTTTGCCCAGCTGATCAACAACAAAGTCTTCCTGCTCACCTTCATCCGGACGCTGGAGCTGCAGCGCAGCTTCTCCATGCGCGACCGCGGCAACGTGGCCTCGCTCATCATGACGGGGCTGCAGGGCAGGCTGGAGTACGCCACCGACGTGCTGAAGCAGCTCCTCTCCGACCTCATTGAGAAGAACCTGGAGAACAAGAACCACCCCAAGCTGCTGCTGCGCAGGTAGCGCGGGGCCGGAGGGGACGGGGCCGCAGGAGGGTGGCACGGCACAGGGAACCCCCTGCTCTGCCCGGGGGTTTCCTTCCTGCTGACCCCACCATGATGGGGCTGTCCCATCGTGGCAGGGAGTTGAGGGGCACAAAAAGTGGGGCTCATGGTCACCACCACACCAAGCAGCACCCTGTGCGTGCAGGCAGGAGGAGGAGGAGGCAGCAGCTCTGTGTCTGGAGGGATCGAGATGCAGCAGCTGCAGCCTTTGCAGCAGGCTTCTGGCTTTTAGGGACAGGATCCTGCTTTGTTTGGTGTCTGTAGGGTACTTAGGGTTCTTGTCTCCCCTCAGCCGGGGTGTTCTCATTGTGAGCAGATCGTTATCTGCTCATCCCGTGTCTTTTTTTATTTTTATTTTTAAATAAAAGGGGGGAGGTTATCCTCGTAGCTCCCATGCTGGGTGCAGCAGGGACGTTTGTGTTTGACAGCTGGGGAAAAGAGCTCGAGCACGGGTTAGGCAACTAACCCACGGTCATGCAGGGAAATTTTAGAAAGAAAAGGGGAAAAAGGCTGTATGAATATAGGCTGGATGAGCCTATGGGCTAGGCCATGAGAAGGCAGCTCCCTGTTCTCTGTGTCATGAGCTGCTGACATCCCGTGTCCTGCTGGGTCCTGTCCGTGCTGCCGAGCAGCTCCTCTGGCATCTTGCTGGGGCGGGCAGCCGAGGGGAAGGGAAGGATTTCACAGCTCCAGGAAAATTTCAGGGATTCCTCCAGCCATAATGAATATGCTTGACAGGAAATTGCTTTAAATCTGGCTGTGTTTGCGGAGGCAATAACTCATCTCAGAGAAGGAAGCCGTCTTAATTTCCCCCGTGGTTTGACGAGTCGCGGGGAAGGCGCCTTCTGCCTCAGCCAGCAATAATGCCTCTGCCGTGCTCCAGGAGCACGAGGCTGGCGATCAGAGCCCTGCCCGCTCTGGCTGTGAGGCAGCGTGCTGTGACCTGCCAGAGCTCCTCTTCTCCTTGTGCCGGGGGGTCAGAGACAGGGGGACGATGACAGACACAGCTCTGACGTGGGAAGGGTTCGGGTCTGGTGTCCCCAGGCCACCAGGAGAGGAGCTGAGCCAGGAGCCGATGTTCTGCTGCTTTAAAATGGGTGAGAGGAGGAGAAGCCAGGCTGGATGCGGTGGTGGCGTTGGCAGCGTGGTGCCAGCAGGAGCCCAGGAGCAGAGCTGGGCACACACCGCCCATGGAGCAGCCCTGTGGGGACAGCCCCGTGCTGCTCCTTGTCTGCTGTGAGCGTTGGTGTCGAGCAGGTTCTGAATATCAGAGGTTACAGGTGGGCTCTGGAGGGAGGTGTCTGCATGGGGCAGGAATCCTGCTCTGTGCCCGCTGCTGCACAGCCCCCGCGGGGCACCACGTCCCGTGCCCACCCGACCCCGGTGCTGAGCTTTGTGGCTTTCAGCAGATCCATGGGATGCAGGCACTCAGCCCTCACCGACCAACTGCCCAGGGGACTGATATAGCAGACCCCAGCTGGTGCAAATCGCAGTCCTGTTTGGCTGCTCACTGATGGCAGCAGCAGCAGGACCCCCGCCCCGTGCTGCGAGTGCCCCTTCCCCACGGCAGCAGGGGCAGGACCCAGCAGAGCGCTGCGAGTTGGTTGTGAGTGAACAGCCACGGAGTGAGACGCTGCTTATTTTTATTTTTTCGAGCTCTCTGGTGGCAGCGGTTGCTAATCAGCGCTCCGTTCTTCCTCTCTTTCTTCTTTGTTTTTCCCCTCTCTTTCCTCCGCCGCTGCCCCTCGAGGGAGACAGCAAAAAAAGTTGATATTAAATCAAATAGCTGCTGTGGTTCCTGGCACAGAGAGCAGGCAGCGGTTGGGAGACCTAGATAAAGCAGGGAGAATTAATAAAATACATATTTATTTTGGGGTTCTCTCAGCTCCTTTTGTTAGTTTTGTTTCATTCCCAGGGCCTCAGCGGGTCAGGGCAGCCCAGCCTTTGCTTGCTGGCATCAGACCCCCTGTGGAAAGCCCTCTCCGGAGCGTGCTTTGCCCTTGTTCTATGGTCAGTCTGAGAAGGGCTTTCTCCAAGCCTAGGGATTGTCCCCTGCCGCGTTAATCTTCAGGAGCTTATATTTTATTTTTAGAGGCAGATCCAAAGGGCGTTGCAGGCAGCAGCCCGGCCGCAGCGTGCAGGCGGTGCCTGCTGGGGCAGCAGCACAAAGCTCTGCAGCCCCCTGCCCGCTCTGCAGGACAGATTTGGCTCCTGCCAGGGGCTGGGCACGGCCCCCCCAGGGGTCCTGCTCAGGCCCAAAAGTCTGGCTGTGCCACGGGAGGCCGGGGGCAGTAAGAACAGGGGATGTGTTTGCAAGGAGCCTGCTGCGGCCAGCAGCCCCTCTCCTCAGCCGGCGTAGGACAGTGATGATTAATTTCTTAATTGGAGGCAGTCCCTGGAGCTGTTGCACTGCAAAAGTCTCTCAATGTCAATGTGAGAGTGAGATTTGGCACTCAGAGGTGATGAGAAGTGGGGCTGGGGAGCTTTGGAGCTGCTTCCTTCTTTGCTGCTCCATTCAGATGATTTTTTATTTCTGACAAAGAAGCAGAAGGCAACAGCCAGCCACAGGGGTTCCCCTCTCCCAGACAAGACGTTTTCATTTTCTGTGTTTTTCTCCTGTTCTTTAACATGGCTGTGGCACCAGCTCTTCATTTTTTGTGGCCTGTGGCTGGCTGGTGCAGCCGTGGCAGCGTGCTGGTGGTTCTCCTCCCTAACTGGGTGCCGGAAACATTTAAATAGGTGAACCACACACGTGTCAGGTTGTAGGATGAGTTTTTAGGCAGTTAATCAATTCAAGCTCAACTTCTTTGGGGATCTGTAGACATTTTCACAAATTTCTGGCAGATGTTGTGATCCTAGGAGATGACAGATAACGTAACCCCCGGGTTTTGGGTGGGTTTTTTTTGCAGGCTGGTGTCAGCTTTTGTTTGCTGAAATTTGTGGTTCCCATTTATACTTGATCCGCTTGACTCTGTGATCAAACCCTGTTGTTTTTTTCCATTAAATGCCATCATCTCCAAACATGCTGGATGCTGTACAAATCCACACCGAGGAGCAGTCCCTAATTCAAGTCAGCAGAGCAGCTGGGGAACAACAGAGAAAATGGGTCGGGAGCAGGACTGGGACCGGCAGGACCCCCGTGCTTTGCCCTGGTTGCTGCAGCACCGCACCAGCCTCGTGCAGGGCAGCCCATGTGCTCAGCAGGCTGGGGGCACGGTGTCCCACGGGCAGTTTGCAGGAATGGCACCAGGAGCTCAGGTGTGGGCTCTGAGACGTCCTGCCAGCAGCACAGCCAGCCTGTCCTGTCCCAGGAAAAGCCACCGTGGTGCTTTAAGGAAAGTCCCCCTCCCCGTCCTGCAGAGCCAGCGTTAAAACCTATCATTAGGAGGCATTGTATTTAAATTAGAAATAATCTCGGGCACAATGTGGGGAGAGGATGCTGGGTGGGACTGGGGAGAAAGCTGCAATTTTCCTGCCATTGTCACTCTGCTGTCCCTGATTGCCAGCCACCGCTGCAAATCCCAGTGATTTACTGCGCCAGGCTGTAATTTGCACCACGTGCGACGAGCTGAGTGTCACCAGGCTCCCTGTCACCACCGGGGCTGTGACAGGCTGTCAGCTGGGCACATGGGGACAGCACTGGGCTGGCCAGGCCTCATCCTGCTGCCTGCCTGCACTGGGAGCCGTGTGGTGGTGGTGCTGCGAGCACTGCACCCACTGCTGCGGGGAGCAGGAGGGAGGATGCTCGTCCACCCCCATCTCTTGCCGTTCCCACTTCCCGAGGCTGGCTTGTGAAGGGAGATGAGGTTTGGCTTGGTCCGTAACGTGCATCTCCTCCTGGCTCCCCTAGGACAGAGTCGGTGGCCGAGAAGATGCTGACGAATTGGTTCGCCTTCCTCCTGCACAAGTTCCTCAAGGTAAGGAGGGACAGAGCTGGGCCCCCGCTGCTGCTCTGCCGTCCCACCCGCACGGGCTGGAGCTGGGCTTGCAGCTCCTCCGTTAGGCTCCAAGTGAAATGGCACAGCCAGGCAGCTCCGAGGGATGTTGCCTGAAAAAGCCTCATGCAATGGAGTTTCCACTGCTTCCCTTGAGCCCTGTTTAAAGGCTCTCCCTGGGAGAAGGTTTTCTGCTCTTCAGCTTAATGTTCCCTGGCTTTGGTTACACCTCGTGTCACCTGGCTGTATTCTCCAGAGTACCCTGATCTGTCTCCTCTTGAGGGCTTGCACCTCGTTAGGACTTAGGGGCAATTCCCACTTACACCTCCACGCCTGGGCTTTCATATTTTTAACTTTATTTTCAATTTTGGAAGCCCCCCCCGAACTGACTTTATGAGGATGAACAACGAGATCACAATCTCAGATCCCCGTTTTACAGCCACACAGACTCAGCAGAGCTCCCAAGCCAAGGACAACAGTCCCAGCAAGCAGCAGAGCTCACGGTTTTGGCCGCCCTCCCCAGGAGCTGCTGGGGGCTGAGCCTGGATTGCACACGTGCTGGCAATTAGGGCAACGGGACCGTGCCTCTGCCAAAATCAGTCCCGTGTGAAGTCGGTCTGTGGGCCAGTGGCCCCGGAGGAGATGCACCTTCACCTCCGTGTCAGTTCTGCTGTCTGTCTCGTTGGTAGGAGTGTGCCGGGGAGCCGCTCTTCATGCTCTACTGTGCCATCAAGCAGCAGATGGAGAAGGGCCCGATTGACGCCATCACGGGCGAGGCCCGCTACTCCCTCAGTGAGGACAAGCTGATCCGGCAGCAAATCGAGTACAAGACTCTGGTGAGTGATCCCTGGGGATGTGGCCGTGAATTGCTGCTCCTGTCCCCCCCGCTTGGACGTGGGCCACGGGTGGGGGCACTGCCATGAAGCAGCGGTGTTCCCCTGCAGGAAGGCCTCGTGCTGCCAGACCCAGGCCTGAGGCAGCGGTGTCCCTAGCTGAGCTATGGTTTTGAAAGGCAGGGTTTGAGGGGAGCATTTTACCTCCCCATTCATCGACCATTGGCCTCCCTGTAGCAAAGGGAGGGCTGCTGGACTCTGGCCCGAAGCCCCTCAGGGAACGGTGTGGTTCCCCTTCCTTTCCAGATCCTGAACTGCGTGAACCCAGACAACGAGAACAGCCCAGAGATCCCGGTGAAGGTGCTGAACTGTGATACCATCACTCAGGTCAAAGAGAAGATCCTCGATGCTGTGTACAAGAATGTCCCCTACTCCCAGAGACCGAGAGCTGTTGACATGGACTTGGGTAGGAGCCCCCTGCCTGCTGGAGGGGGTGGGTCAGGGGGTGTTAGCAGTGATCCTCAGCGGGTTTCACTGCCCAGAAGTTGGTTAGATGTTGTTATCAGAGCGGATTGAGCCCAAAGGTGTCCTTCCCTTCCCCAACTGCATGGCTTTTGTCTCTCCTGCAGAGTGGCGGCAGGGCCGGATCGCGCGGGTGGTCCTGCAGGATGAAGACATCACCACCAAGATTGAAGGAGACTGGAAGCGCCTGAACACCCTGATGCATTATCAGGTGAGAAAGCAGCCTTTGCAGGCGGCTTCCAGGAAGCTGCCAGGAGGAAGGAGAAAAAAAAGCCGAAATTTAATTTTCCAAGTGTCTCGCCTACCGAGGCAGGCGGGGAGGTCACATTTGTATGATAAACCTGACTGCTTCAATGTGCTTCTGCATTAGACAGGAAAGCAACCTTGACATGGATCTTAAAGAAACTAGCAGAGGTGAAAATTGGCTAAATTAAAACCGCCAGCCGTGCTGGTGAGATAGACGGAGCTGGGAGAGGGCTGAGCTGCTGCTGCTGGAGCCGCAGGGACGGGCGGGGATGGCACAGAGCGGGATGAGCAGGAGAGCAGCCTGGGGAGGAAGAGGAGTTTGTGCCTTCCTTCCATCTCCCAGACCTAGTTCTGAGCCAAGTCCCAGGAGTTTTGCCCCTGAAGCCGTGTAAAACCAAGCCAGGCAGTGAGGAGGCTCTGTTTTGCGTTGGCCAAGGTGAGCTAAGAAATTTTCGCCATCCTTAGCTTTTGCAGCACGAGTGGCGGTGGGAAAGGACTGCTTAGGGTGTGCGAGGTGTCCAGAGAGGTACAGACGGGGCTGGGGGAATCTGAGAAAGGAATCAGAGGCTTTTCCTCCGAGTCTGGCTGCAGCAGAGGATGACTGCATTAATTGGGACCTGCAACCTACTGCTGTCCATCAGTAACTACGCAGCAGTGCTCAGTATTCAGTCCTGGCATCCCTCCCTGTCCATACACCATCACGAGTCCATCAGTGGGACTCACGCCGTGTAAGCTGAGCACCAGCCAGCGTTGACAGGAGCCACAGCATCAGGGAGCGAGGCGCAGGGTGGCAGAAACATGCAAAGTGCCTGTAAAAAAGCTGCTTGAGGGTCAGCCTGCCCCACGCAGCCCGAGGGATTACGCAGCTCACCGCAAAATGCCAGTGGGAGTCGTGCAGGTGAATTGTGTTGTTTTTAAAACCTCTCCTACCTGACAGTTGCAAGGGATTAACCAAGACACAGGGAAGCAGGGAGATTTTACTGTGCCTTGATCTTTAAAAGTCATCTAGGGAAGTCACAAGCGAATTTCGTGTTGCTCTGATGTGTGCTGGGTGCTAGGGGAACAAGTATTTTCACTGCGGTGCCTGGGGGAAATCTGAGCCATAAGTTTACCCTTAAAATAAACAAAATCCTGACAGCACTCAAGACACGGCAGCTATTCCTGCCACTCGAGTGTCAGTTTTGCTCTGGAACAAAGTGGAAGTTTGCTGCCAAGTATCTAAATAGGTAGCAGTTGCACATGGCTCTGGCCACAGCTCTGCACAGCCCGAGTGGAGCTGTTGCAGCCATAAAAAGAAGCCAAGTTCTCTGTGCTGCAGCAGAAATCTTGTCAAGGCAGGGCTTTTGCCAAAAACAAACAGCAATGATTTTCTGTATTTCTACCAGTATTTTTTTCTGTTTGGGTAATAAATGTTTTTATTAGGTATCAGAAATACAGATGCTCCAGGACTGCACAGTAAAACAAACCTGTTGGGCAGAGGCACGGCTTAGAAGAGGGCATAAAATCATCCGCGCTCCAGGCGCTGCTCTCACTGCTTTAACCAGGGTTGTTGAAGCACAGAGAAAGTGCCTGGAAAGGAGCGCGGGGGGAATTCTGCGATCTGCAGGAAGGCAGGGAGGGGAAACCATCCGTACAAAACAGCTGTGGTTCAACCATAAACATGACGTGTAGATTTCCTCCAGCTAGAGGAGGACTGGCGAGATGATTTCTGGATTTCTATAAATATAAGATCCAGCTCTGTAAAGCTACCTCCCCCTTTCATTCGGAGCTGGCTTTATTTTCAGCCGGGTGGCTTTCTCTTTGTCACACACCTTTATCTGCCAATTTGAGCAATCTCTTTGGATCTGCACGCAGTCACTGGAGATGCCCAGCACACGATTTCCTCCGATAAAGCCCTGTGCATTTTGGGGAGGCACTGCTGGCTCGGAGCAAGTGCTGAAGCAAGGACCAGCAGCGCCTGGTCCCCACCATCCTGCTGCTGTTCTGAGCCCTGCAGCTCCTCGGGGCTCAGCACCGTGCCCTGCCAAGCACCCAGCAGCCTTCCTCCTGCTCGCCGTGCTCTGCCAGGGCCGGGCCAGTTGTGCAGCCCCACACCTGCCTGCCAGATTTTGAGATTATTTTGTTTTGAACATGTTTAGGGTGATAAAAATACAGCATCTGTCTGCAACGGTGGGTAAAATGTATTTTTCATAGGAAGCCTTGTCAAAAGCCAAGTTAGATTTGAAAGGAAATATTCACCTTTCTGTAATATTTTTGAGCCACTTTAGAGAATTATATGGAGAACTGCATGCCTGCTGCTTATTTCTTCATTTTTTAAAATAGAAGTATAGGTTAAATGGCTGTAATGCTTTGTTAAAGTCTCCGGAGCTTTTAAGCTAAGTTGTAAGGAATTGTGTTACGTTTGTGTGGTGTCCTTTTGGTTTCATGCCTATTAAACTCCACGGGAGAGTCTCACCCTGCGTGCCTTTACTCGGGGAAAACGAGGCACCGAATTCAATAGCAAATGATTTACGGTGGCTCGTGCAGGGTTAACTGGGAGGCAGCAGAGCATGAATACCTGTCAGCCACTGGGAGCCTGGAAGGGCTGGGAGATTAGGAAACTATTTTAAATGAAAAATTAGAAGCAGAGAGGGAAGATTTGTGCAGAAAATGACAGCCAGGATCTGGCGGTGGAGCTGCTCGGGCTGTGTCCTCGCTGGCCCAGGTCGCGGGGAGGTGTCGGCGCTGCCAGACCGTGGCTCCCTCCGGCCCTGTTTTCATTTTTCCTCTCTTTAAGGTGTTTTGTGCAGCACTTTTCCAGCTGGTAGAAGAATCAGAATATTTATAAAGTTGTAAAGCAGCCAGCCAGCTTCTCGGGCGTCTCCTGGGCTTTACGGGAGTGTGGCAACAGCAGCGCGAGATGGGGAAGGAATGCATCTTACATCTGATGCTAATTTGTACGCTGGTACTTTCTAGCTGACAAGAGCCATTCGACCCGAAATTTAGAGAGTGAGAGCTCTTGGTGTGTGTGCAGTTTCCAACGCCTCTCGCCCAGGTCCGTGTGGCTCCGGTGAAGCTGCAGCACCCAGCGCCAGCGCTCAGCTTCGCCCGTCGTGAAACTGAGCTGAAGTGGCAGCTAATAACAGCCTAGGAAAATAATATCACCGCTGATCGCTCCTTCCAGTGACTTAATAAATTGGATGAAGTGAGGCAGGAGCAGAGGAGGAAATAACAGAGGTGTTTGAAGTGTTTTGCTTGGGAATATCTCACTTTTGTGCTGCGAAACGCAAGTGCTATTATTTCCACTATCGCTGGCGATAATAACAACTCACATTTGCATGAAACCTTTCATCTTAGTGGACTGCCGAGCCTGGAAGGGAGCGAGCTGGCTGTGCGGCTCCGTGCTGCGTGTGCTGGTGCTGAGGGAGGTGCTGGGCACAGGTCGCAGCCCCCCCGGCAGCTCCCGTCCCCTGGGGACACCGCAGCACCCCGAGGTCACAGCCAAAAGGACCCCTGGCAACCCTGTGGATCCCTAATTGTGGGAAATAAGCTAAAAAACATCCAGTGCCTATTAGATTTATAGGGTGGGTAAAATTAAACATGGCCACTAAAGTCTGCTATAACAAAACCTTGTTAGCACTAATGTTCATTTATAGTTTGACTTCCCAGCGTTTAATTCCTTCTCTGGTACAGCAGAGGGACAGACAATTTAATACCCTTGAAAGATGGCTTTATGACGTGCCAGGCTGTAAATCAAACTTTTAAAGTTCATAAAAATTGTTAAAATAAAAAATGGTTTAATAGGGATGTTTTATGGTCCATAACGTTATTATAGCTGTTTTATTCCCTCTGCATTGTTACTTTAATTGGATCACAACAATTCTTGAGATTCTCATTTTTATTGGATAAAATGTAATCTTAAATCAGAGCAACCCAAACCATCTTCAATATGTCTTTTGATTTACATGCCTCTCCTTCAGTCCCTTGCTGTTAAGCTGCTCCTGATTAGAGCTCAGCTGGATGAGGAGCACCTTTCCCCTCGAGAAGGCCAGGGGCTCCTTTCCTCCTGACCAAGGGCCCGAGCACTAAGCCATCAGCTCCTTGCCAAGCCTGGGCCCTGAGGATTTCTCCTGGCTGCATTTGCAGATAAGCACCCAGTGCAGAAAGCAGCCCTTGCTGATGTCTCCCCCTCTGTCTCCTCCCCAGGTATCGGACCGCTCGGTCGTGGCTCTTGTTCCCAAGCAGACCTCCTCGTACAACATTCCTGCCTCTGCCAGTATATCCCGCACGTCCATCAGCAGATACGGTAAGAAGCAGCTGTGTGCTGGGGGGGGAAGGCTCGCAGGAGGTGGCCGGGTGCTGCTCTGCCACTGAGAGCCGTGGGGCCAGGCACCAAGCTCGTGTCCTGCTTGAGGATGTGTCTGGGAGAGCTGGGATTGAAGCTGCCCTTGTCATAGGAGGGCAGCACCTGAAGGGAATTGGGTGGAAAAAAGCAGCAGCTTCCACCAGAGAACCACAGCACGTTGTCTAAAATGACATTACGTGCACGTGCCAAACAGAAAAGGGTGCTTGGCTACCTAGTTATTGCAAAGGCTTTTGCGTCTGTGAGCTGAACAGCAAAAAAGACCCAAAAGACGCCAAGCACCGCGTGAGCAGCCTTTGGGAACGTGGGTCTGGAAAGGGCCAGGGAAAGGCTTTTGGCTCGGCGGGGCCAGGTGCTGCAAGGCCCCTCCTGGCTGCTGCTGCAGGAAAGCAGCTTTGTGCACCCCGTGGGAACACGAGAACAACCCGGCTCCTTCAGCTATTTCTCCTCTAAGTGGAGGATCCTGGATTCGTAGCTAATGGGTCAAAAACGGGTAACAGCACTCTTAACTCCGTGTGCCAGGATTCACACACCTGGGAATTCGGTATTTGCATAATGGCACCGCCAGGCACTTTGCAGATGGTCCCTAAAGGCTCCCCAGCCTGAATAAATGAGCCCGGTAGGTGCCAGGTGTGCATTTATAGCACTAAATCCACAATCAGAGTAATCATAGACTTCCATAAAAGGCAGCGGTGGCAAAATCTCTAGTGCACTGATCTTTCATTATCTGTCGTTGTACGGCGTGTTTTACAGGCGAGAGGGCTCCTGACAGCCCCCTCTCCTCCTGCTGCTAGCTCCCAAAGCAATTCTCTCCGAGGAGCCCTCCTCGTGGCAGGATTCCTTAGGTAAAAGCCTCGCCGGGCTCTGTGGATGGGAGAAATGTCATTTCTCACTGTGCCCCGTGCCCCTGCCCTTCAGGTGAAGGAAAAGCCGAGCCTGGGCGACACAACAGGAGCCTTCGGTGCTCATTGATCTATGCCAGATGCAAAAGCCTTTGCGAACCACCAGTATGAATCATCGCTCACGTTAAGATTAATACTTTTAATTGTGCCGACAGAATTTAAATGAGATACTTATTTACTTTCCCCATGATATATCAGCGCAGAGCTATGCTTAAAAATAGAATTAGTAGATGCTTTCCTAGCCATCCCCCTGTCTGTCTCCTTAATTATATCAGTTGGAGTACTCATTTATCTAAGCCCTAATCAGGGATGAAAATCTAGCTAGTTTTGTAATGACTTGCGTACTTCCCTCGGCTGATTTATGATTGATCTCCTTCCTCTTGCTGAGAAGGGTGAGAAGCGAATCGGAAGGCTAAATTTGAGAAAACACAAGAGGTTCCTGGAGAACAAAGAAACGTAGTGAGAGGAAGAAAATGAGCAAGGCACGATAGGTGCTGGCTTCTTTGAGCCATGTTTTGGCTTGAAGAGGCCGTGGATGGGATCCAGGGCACACGTTGCTTGGGAAGTTAAATATATCTCACGTCCCCGCATGGTGTCCGTGCAATTGGAAGAACCCTTTGGCTCCTCTGCTATGAGCTCCCTGTGCCCATCGGGCAGCAGGGCTGGCAGCTTGTTATTATTTATGTGTACTGGTACTGTACTGGGATGGTGCTGGTGTCAGGGCACGGGGTTGATGTCCTGCAGGGACCTGTCGTGCTGTGGCCGTGTAAGTGCAGGGTGTGAGTGAAGAGGGAGAGGTTCCCCGTCTGAGTGCAAAAAGGGAAAGGCTCAAGGCTGGGGGCTCTGTGTTGGGTGAATAGGCAAGGCGTATCATTTTTAAGTACGTGGTCTGTTTTGGTCCATTTTCGGGTGTCTGTGTGGTGTTGCATTCCGCTGCCCTGCAAAAAAAATAAAAAATAAAAATAAAATCCGAGCAGGTGATTTGGGCATGAATGAGCACAGTAGCATCACCAAGATGAGGCAGGAAAAGGAAAGGATTTCATCTTGATGATTTCGTTCATCAAAATTCCAAGTGTCTGCTCGGAATGTGGCTGACCTCTCCTCCCACTGCTCAGACTCCACCTTCAGGTACACCGGCAGCCCCGACAGCCTGCGCTCCCGGGCCCCCATGATCACCCCGGACCTGGAGAGCGGCGTCAAAGTCTGGCACTTGGTCAAAAACCACGACCACGGAGACCAGAAGGAAGGGGACCGGGGCAGCAAGATGGTGTCTGAGATCTACCTGACCAGGCTACTGGCCACTAAGGTAACTGCCGTGTGCTAAATTTGCTTGGGAAAGGTCTGTCCGGGCCCTTGGGAGGGTGCTGTGCAGTCACTAGTGATGCTCAGCACCAAGGTGGGACTGTCCCTGTAATGCCCCAGGGGTTGGGTGGCTCCTGGAGCAGCAACAGAGATAGACTCATGCTCACCATGATTGCTGCGTAGTTCGTTCTTCTACATGATATTAAAACATGAAGAGTTTTACGAACAGCAGTATCTGTAGATACTTAACTGTTTGGTTTTTTTTTTGCCAAAATTTTCCTTCATTTCACTGTGTTTTCATCACTGTGGCTGACACGGATATGATTTTGAAAGCAAAGGAATTGTTTTCTGCTAGAAGTAGAGAGGAAGCACAGCCCTGGGGAGCTGCAGCCCCCAGTCCTCCTGCAGCACGGGCAGTGTTTGCAAAGCTCCCTGACCTGGCTTGTTCCTGCGGGATCCGGGATCTGTGGCTGTGCTTCCTGGGGCTGTGCAGAGCACGCGTGTGCCTCCACCCCTCCTTCACCTTGCTGGCTGCTGCTCCCTTTAGGGTACGCTGCAGAAGTTTGTGGACGACTTGTTTGAGACGCTGTTCAGCACCGTGCACCGCGGCAGCGCGCTCCCGCTGGCCATCAAGTACATGTTTGATTTCCTGGATGAGCAGGCAGATAAGCACGGCATCCACGACACGGACGTGCGGCACACCTGGAAGAGCAACTGGTGAGAACGGAGGAGAGGGTGGGAGGGCGGCCAGAGCTGGCTGCTGAGCTGGGGAAAAAAAAAAAAAAAAACAGAGATGGGGGAGAGCTGCAAGAAGGGCTGGGAGCAACCCAGCTCCATAGCCCCAGCACGTGAAGCAAGGCAGAGAACCGTGCTCGTGCACGTGCTCTCCCCCAGCACCTCTGCTACCCCGGTGCCCCATGCAGGGGGTGTTGATTCTGGAACCTGCCCCCTCTCTGTGCACACACAGGAGGAAACCCCAGCGCTGTGCTAAACCCTGAGACCATCTCCAAGCCTTCTGCATGGGTCAGATCTGCCCACACCGATGGCATTGGTGATGGTGGGGTGTGCAGAGCTACCTGCAAGGGGGCTCTGGGGGTCCCTGCCCCAGCCTGGGGCAGCTGCAGGAGCAGGGGACAGGAGGATTGGGCAGGAGGGGGTCAGCCCCACACGCAGCCCCCGCCGACAGCAGCGAGGGCTCAGCCTTCTCCAAACAATGGAGCTATTACGTCTCTGCCTCTGCCGTTATTTTAGGATTAAAAGCTCTGTGGGTTAGAAATTTACCTCTGCGAGAGAGGGGAAAAAAAGCACAACAAATGGCTGCTCCCTGAAGATTTTGTATTTTCCCCCAAGTCCCGCGTGGTTTTAAAAGCCTCTAATCACCACGTCTGCAAAAGCTGGATTCCCTGCTAAGGCAGTGGGAAGCTAAAAACAATTTATTGAAAGCCTTAGAAGAAGGAGTTATTAGGATAAAAACGCTTGAATCACAAGTAGAGATGAGACTTCTTAAAGCAATAAAAAAGCAAGCAGCAAGCGGCGGAGGTTCCTGTGCCAGGGCCATTGGGCTGCAAACCCCGGTCCTGCCTCTGCACGGGGGGCACAGGAGCAGGGGGAAAATTCGGTCTGCGAGCCAGTGGTTGTGCTGGGCGCTCTGCTTGGCTCTCACCAGTGCCCTCTGCAAGCTGGATGCTGCTCGTGGTGCTGGGGGAACCTGGGGCAGGTTAAGCCCAAGCAGTGATGGCTCCAATCCTCCAGAGGATGCTGCAGCACTGAGGGCAGCACCCTGGCAGCCCTGGGGCTGTACGGGGAATGGGGCACACGGCATGCCCAGAAAGGGAATTTTGCAGAAGTGGGAAAGGCTTAGGCTGCTGGAGCAGGTCAAAGCAAATTGGGGTTTGTAAGGCAGAGCTGGAGAACTGGGGGTCAGGAGCTGGCAGTTGCAGGGGATGCTGCCGAGCTGCTGGCCTACAGTGCAGCAAGAGTTAATGCTGAAGCCTTCGGTGCAGCTAGCTGGATGGAGAGAGCCCAGACTTGAAAGGTAATAGAAAGCAGCAGCTGGTTGTTTGATCCTGCTATACAGCCAAAGAAAAAAGGAATAATAATTCCCCTTTGATTGCAAAGGCCTTGGGATTCGGGGATGGAGCCTCTGAAGCCTGCTGCCCTGCTCGCAGGGGATGGACGGCGAGTGGCCGGGCAGCGGCTGGGGGGCGCGGGGACGTGGAGATGCCCCATACCAGGGCCACCCCCTCCAGCGAGCCCTTGTGGAGCTGCTCAGCCCAGCCCTGGTGCAGGCATCGCACCCTCAGCACCCGCTGCTTGCCCAGCTCTCGCCTCCTTCGCCTTGCTGCTGCAGGATGAGACGTGGGGCACGCAGCACGAACCTGTCACAGGTTCCCAGTGGGAACACACAGCGCAGGAAGGGCCCGTTCCCAGCCTTTGTTTCAACATTTGGTTTTGTTTCTTCATTTCCCCGCAGCCTCCCTCTGCGGTTCTGGGTGAACGTCATCAAAAACCCCCAGTTCGTGTTTGACATCCACAAGGGCAGCATCACGGACGCCTGCCTCTCCGTCGTGGCTCAGACCTTCATGGACTCCTGCTCCACCTCCGAGCACCGCCTGGGCAAGGACTCCCCCTCCAACAAGCTGCTGTACGCCAAGGACATCCCCAGCTACAAGAGCTGGGTGGAGAGGTCAGTGGCAGCCTGATCCTGCCGAGCTCCTGCCCCAAGTCCTGCAGGCTGCCTCTGCTCTCGATGGCAGGTGCTGCAGCACCCGTGGCTCCTGCAGCAAGCTGGTGGCACGGCTCCTAGCATTGCTGCTTTTATTTTCACAGCCCAGGATCCCATTTTGCTAGATGTAGGCGTAAAGCAAACTGACATCCTCTTCCCCACTGAGTTTAATCTGAGAAAAGGGGCATTTTAACCCTTTGCATTCCTCACGGGCTCCTCGCCTTTCGCCCCCGCAGGTATTACGCAGACATCGCCAAGCTGCCGGCCATCAGCGACCAGGACATGAACGCCTACCTCGCCGAGCAGTCGCGCCTGCACTCGGCTGAGTTCAACATGCTGAGCGCGCTCAACGAGATCTACTCCTACGTCAGCAAGTACAGCGAGGAGGTGGGTGCCTGTGGGCAGTGCCGTGCCGGTTTCCTTGCCGGCCACCTCCACGTGTGGAGCACAGCTCCTGCTTCGTCCCAGCTCGCCCTTGGTGCAGCACAGCCGCTTCTTGTGCTGCTGCTGCCTGCATCTGCTCTGATCCTGCACAGCCAGGTTCAGGTCCTGCTCTGTAGGGTGCTTCCCTGAAGGACTGAGAGCTCAAACACTGTGTGAGCAGCTGAATTCCTCAGCCTTGGCACACACCAAGTGCAGATCACTCCTAGAAACAGCAGAAAATCATCATGGCCCAGTGAACCCCCCCAGAAACATCCCTGGCTTTTCGGGAACAGCACAGTACAACTCCCCTGGTGCAGTGGTGCAGGCTCCTATTTGCAAAGATTCCCTGGCAGCCTGAGCGCCTTTAATGAATGCATCACTTGAAACCAAGTTCTCGCCATCTGTTCCACCCCTTCATTTCAGCGTAAGAAAAACCTATTTTGCAATTATGTCCGTTAAAAGGAAGGGTTTTGTAATTTAATTGCATGTATGCATTTGTGATACAATGCCACAGCTATTTTCCGATTAGGGTTTAAAATCTGATAACTTTCATGCTAAATGAGACAAGAAATGTGGAGCTCAAGGTACAAGAGCAGGACCGACCGTGCGGTGCTGGCTGCATGCTCCGAGCTGGCCAGCAAATGAACGAGCACGGCTGTGCAGAGGGGAAGCGCTCATTGCGTTGCTTTGCCATTTGTTATTCCAGATTCTTTACAGGGGCAAAGCTGAGGGAGGGGATTTATTGTCACTGGAAACCCTCAGCATTTCGTGTCATGAGAAGGCACTGTCGGTACTGCTCTGTCACTGCCTGCTGCTCCTGGGGAAATAGCGGCTGTTTTGTGCTGTGCTGTGCATCCAGCCCAGAAATGTTCCCAGGCTATCCTCAGACCTGATTTATCCCATGTTTTTCACTGGCTTTCTGTCTGTCCCTTGAAACACACATCTGCATTTCGAGTTGCTCGCATCTTGCTGCCACCCACCCCTGCCCACCCCTTCTCCCTCACACTGACTTCTTTCTCTTTTCTCCTTTTTTTTTCCCCGTACCAGCTCATTGGAGCTTTGGAACAGGATGAGCAGGCACGTAGGCAGCGTCTGGCATACAAAGTAGAGCAACTTATCGGTGCCATGTCTATTGAGAGCTGAAGAAACGCTGCGATGCTCACAGACAGCAAGGGGCAAGAGTACTGCACGGACGCTCGGGGCTCAAGAGGGAGAACAAGCAAGAAAGGCACACGTAAATACCAAGGCTCATCCAGAGAGAGCAGAGACTGGCCCAAGGACTGACTGCATTCAAAATCACGTAGGATCCGGTTCGAAAAGGCAGGAAGATATCAAAAAGACAAAGCATCTCAATCAAAGTCCAATCAAGACGGATTATTTTTTTCCATTATTCATGGAAAGAAGGAACCTGGAAAGTCTGGACGTCTCCATGACTGCTGCTTTGCATGAGAATCATTTGATGTATATTAGGAGATAAAACTTTATTTAATTTTTTTTTTTTTAGAAAATAAAGAGAAAAATAATGAAGAAAAAGAAGAAAAAAAAAGGAAAAAGGAACAGGGGAAAAACCACAGAGGCCACAGAGATTATCCTGGCAGCAAGGTTCAGTCCTGAATCCTGTCCTCAGCCCGACCCCCGAGGATGAGGCACAGGCGTTCTGCAGATGGACTCTTACACCAATCGGAAAGTCTGGAAAACTGAAATCTTCTTCTTTTTGGGATCTTATAAAAAAAAAAATAGAGCACAAGTTTGCACCACACCTTTCTACACAAGTGAAATAACAATTTAGCCAGAAACGGTTCAGCGGCTGAGTAACCTATAGGCACTAGAAGGAACTTTACATGGATTTAAAATCTACCCAATCATCCAACCTGTCTTGAAATCCAGCTTTATCTATGTATTTATATAGTGTCAATATATATATATATATTTTTTAAATCCCATTTGCTGTTGAATGAGGAGGGACGTGCTGTAAGTGCTTTCCCCTTCCCCATCCCCGGTGCAGCGGTGCTCCGGCAGCGAGGCAGGGTCGGGGCTGCCTGCACTGCCTGGTGGCAGCCGCCCCGACTTCTTGCAGTAAAAACAACCACGAACCCGATGTTTACAGTGAGCGATACTTGAAGAGGCGAGAGGCAGCGAGGTGACGTGTTTATTGTTCTCCTCTTCGACTCGCAGAGCAGCGCAGGCTCTGGCCGAGTTCCTCGGTCTCAGCGCACGCGACGTCGCCCGCGGGCCAGGACTTTCATTTCCATGAGAGAGGGGAAAGAAATCTTTGCTCTAGGCAAGGGAAAACCATAACCAGCACTGCAAGTGCCAGCTAGCGCTGCTGTCTGTGTGTCTGTCCGAGCGTCTCGTTGTTACCTTCAGTTCCTAGCTGGCCTGCTGGCACGTGTTCTTGTGGCCAGTGACAGGCAGATGTCTGAGTGTTATTTCTTTCAAAGACACCAAAGCTTATGTGTCCCTTTGTAGAGTGCCAGGAGGGGAAGGAACGCTGTAAATATTTCTCTCTGTAATAAATATTGATGTTTGCGAAGGCTGCAGCAGGGAGGACAGGGCCGTTAGACCCGATGGAGGTGGAGGCATTGACCGTGGGAGCTGGGCAGAGGCAGCAAAGCTGCTCCTGGGCTCCGCTCAGCACCGGGACCATCGCTCCTGGTTGCCAGCGGGGTGAATATTGGGGTTGTGAGGGGATGGGAACTCAGTGCCGGAGGAGCAGGACCTCCTGGCCAGTCCCAGCCCAGACCTCAGTCTGCAGCCCATGTGTATGAAGGAAAACCAATTTTTTAAGTGTCCCTCCTTCCCCACGGCTGCTCGAGGAGCCGGGAGGACACCGGGAGCGTGGTCCCAAGAGGAGGCAGCACGGTGAAGAGCATCGAGATGTCTCAGGAAACTTGCTGTTGCAATTACCTTTCACTGAAAGCCATGCCAAGCCCACTTTTTTTTCATGGTAATCCACTTTTGTGGGCCCTATCACCAGTGTGGGAGCAGTACTAAGGATCAGCCTCGTGCAATAAGCTCCCAGCATTTCCAGCAGCCTGAGCTGTGTGACCGGGGGGCTGTGGTGTACTGAGACAGGGAGAGAGCTGGCACAGACCATAGGAGACAAAGCAGGCTGAGCATGCCTGTCACAGGGAGAATTCCCTTCCAGGGATCCCTCCGCTGCACAGGGAACCCAGCTCCAGAGGCAGAAAAGGAGGAAAAGCCCAGGTTGTCCCAGCCCGCACACACCGTCATTGTGGAGCTGCTGCTATTAGGAAATCCTCCGGGAGGTCTGAATTTTTCACAGGTTTCTGTTACTGACAGAGATCCGGCACAAGGTTTCCATGGGTGATTTAACAGAAATATATGATAGATACTCTAGTTGTGGTCCTTGTTTTGAGTATTCATATTCAGGTTGTTCACCAAATTTTCATGGTACTCCGAAACCCAAAGAGAGCACTCAAAATGGTTTCCAAACACTTCTGCTGATCTGAGTAGTTATTTCCATGGGACCCACAAAATATGAATGCTGCCCAAAGCAACGACCTGCTCGAGGTGCTGGGGGGCACACCTGGGGTTGTGCTGGAAGGTGAAGGTGAGGGGGAAAAGTAAAAGGAACTGCAGAGCCCGGAGGGGCTGATACATGAGCAAGGATCAAAAGAATCAACCGTGGCCGAGCTGGCTAAAAAGAGCTCTGTATTCCGTGAATACACGTGAGTGCCAAGGGGGGAGGTGGACAATTAAGTTTATTTTCTGTGTTGCTGAAGGAAGTTAAGCAGAGGAGGAAAGGGAAACAACAGGAGCACTTTGCAGAACAGTAGGTGATTGAGTTTTGACTGGCTTCCAAGGGAAGCAGCAGAAACGTCTCTTCTTCCATCATCCAAAAAGGCTCAGAAGGACGGCGCAGGGAACGGCACGGGGCTGACTTGAAGGGGTGGCCCATAAATAATCTACCAAGCATCTACTTGTGGTGGTTGACATGAATTATGGATCCTTACAGGCAATTACATGGAATGAAGCAACATATCCCCGTGGGGCAAAGCGCTTGTGATCCATTGCCCTGCTTGCAGCTGGCTTTCCCGTTGCCCCTTTGGGAGGAGGGAGCTCAAAGCCCAGGACAGCATTTTTGCCACACTTGCAGCAAACTGGACTCGAGCTTTGGTCAGGAGGGGGCAATGACTTTGCCTTAGATGAAATGATTTCACCTCCCTCTCCTTGCCCCCTTCCTCCTGCAAGGCCGATGGGTGTTGCGATTCCCCAGCTCCCTTCGTTTCAGGTATTTTGACATCAAAGTGGGAGACGTCACTTTCTGGAATCTCTCTGTCTGGTGTCACTGCTTAAATAATTCCATTTAATCTTCTGCTCATAAGCTATCAAAGCACCCACTCCAAGGGGGAGCAAGGTGCTAATCAAACGCTTCTCCACCTTGAAAGCCTTTATTAAAAACCCACATACACGAGTCTAACTTCTAGGCAAGCTTGTCTCTGCATGAGCCCCACTGTGGAGCACCACGACACCGCAGCCACCGACGTACAGAGGACGCGGACACCAAGTGGCTCGTGCTTTGCCATAAAGGATGAGTTCGTGTTTAAAGGAGAGAGAAGCACGGAGAGGCTCTGCCAGCTCCAGCCTGGACTGGTCCAGAGTCTCACGAAGACCTGCGGGAGCCAGTGCTGAGGAGCAGGGTGGATGCGGAGCGTGGCCGTGCCCTCCTGTGCTCGTGGTGCTGGGACACCCGGGGGTGGCCACAGAGACCTTCATCACAGCAGTGCCTTCAACACACTGTCTTAAAATCCTACCGGCCCGCCCCCACCCAGGCTGACTGCCCTACCTTTAAACAGACTTCACCAAAAATGTCACGATATACCGACGCTTCGGTTGGAGGACTAAAGCAAGAGGACTTAACGCTCCCGGGTTGTGTTCCTGTGTGATGCTGGCTCTGAGCACCTCGGTGCAAGTCCCTTGTGCCTGTGCCCGAAGGCTTGGAGCAGCATCTCCTTCCTCCCGTGGCCAGACGGACGGACGAGGTCTGGCTTCCAGCAGTGGTGGGCAGGCAGCAGGGTCGAGGAGCACCTCGGGCAGCGTGGGATGCTCCTGGGCCTCTCCCAGCAGCATCCCGGCCACGTCCCCACCTGCTGCTGGCTCCTCTCCACCCCATTCCTAGCGCTGTCACAGCTCACCTGCCACGGGGACTCCGCTCACCAGCCTGAAGGAGACGCAAGGAGCCTGACGTGAGCGAGCTGAGACATCAGGGCAAAGTCGGGAGCGACTGTACCCTGGTGAGAAGGAAAAAAACATTCAGCAAAGGCTAAATAGCTGACATCAAAGGCAAATCACGATGCCACAAAGCTTCAGCCATCCTGTGTCAGAATTGCATTTGTACCATAAACCGCAAGCCAATAACGCAGGGAACTGCGACCTTGTATATAGTTGCGTGCTAGGTAGAGCTCGGTGAGCCCGTCCGGTCTGTGTCGTGAACGTGTCTTTGGTGAAACCCCCCCGGTCACCCCCAGCTCCTCCCAGCCTTTGCCCGAGGCCCCCAGGAGCAGCAGGTTGGGGGCCGGAGGCAAAGCTCTGCCGACAGCTTCCAGGCCACCCAGCACCCGCATGGACAGGACGCTTTTTTTTATTTAATTAGACATTCAGTGGGGATAATCATCAGAGTAAAAGATGCCGGTGTGCACTGCAAAGAAGATGCTGCTCAGGATCTGCTGGGCTGAGCAACCCTGAATGCGTGGTTTAACTGTCGGTCGGTCAGATTGGTTTTATGGGGGAACAGGAGGGATGTCCTTGACCCGATGTTCTCCTCCGGGAAGGCTCTGCTGGAAGCACGTGGATGTGCCTGGTGCTCATGTTCTGGGTGGGAAGGGCGATGCTGCAGCTGCGGAGCTGCATTGGGATGGGGATGTGGGGTCAGCAGCCCTTGGGGGCAGCCTGGTGGCACGGGGTGACACGGGGTGACAGGGGTGGCAGGGACCGGTGTCTGCAGGTGCTGTGGTTGCACCAGGAGCAGCCCAGGCGGCTCGGCTCTAACACAGCAGAAGGGTTGTGGCCGTGCTCTGTGTGCTCGTTCTTTCCTGTCCCCGTGTGCCCTCGTGTTATCCCCTTCTTCCTTTCTGAAAGTGGAATATGAGTGACAACGTGAATGTCCCTGCAGTAAGAACGTGCTCAGAAGATCTGCAGGGACCGTCGGTCTCACGGACAGTACCCCAAAACTCTCTGGGCCTCCTGAGGCTGCCAACTCCAACACCAAATCTCCTTCATGGCCTTTCCTTTGGGATTTTTAATGCCTCCATTTGGAACAAGCTTGGAAGTTTGCGCAGCAGCTCCTGCATCAGAGATCTCCACCTCGCCACGGGACAGCAGAGAGGTGCCTGGAAGAGGAGCTGGGGAACGACCGAGTGCTCGGCTGGCTTCTGGCTGTGCTCTGTGGCTTCCTCGCTGCAGGAGGGGCTGCAGCAAAACGTCCCTCGCGTGCCGATGAGTTTGTGCTGCCGGCACCTCGGGGCTGGTGCGAGAGGTGGTGGGAAGCAGCAAGCGGGAGGGAAAACAGGTACTAAAACTTTGGGATATCCCCCAAAAGGAGGCCCCGTGGTGTCACAGAATGTAGAGGTATCGGTCGTGCAACAGATTCTTATTTTTTCTGCCCCACTCCTTAAAATTAATAACGCCACTTCTAGGGGTTGTGTATTGGCAGGAATAACAAATGGATTCGTACCCGTACCCATTCACCCTATTGTTCTCTGGCTCCTCCCCTCCCCATTATACTTGACACACTGGAGTTCTGTATTATATTTTTTTTAAGATGATTGTCTGTTTTTTTTGTTGTTGTTTTTACAAGTGTTGTGGAAAAAAAAAATGTAAGAAAGTTTAAGTATTTAAAAATGTTCCAAGGAAAAAGGGGGTTTTGTTATTATTCTAATATATTATTGTGTACCTATTGTAAATATGAAACACTCCTATTTTGCAAGCCAAGGACTCACTTTGTACTGTTGTTATATATAAATAAAGTTTACTGGTTAAAAAAACCTTCTGAGTGGGGCCTTATTTTCTAACGCGGTGTGGAGCGCTTAGTGGAAAAGCTGAGGACACCGCTGAGAAATATTCACTTACCGAATCACAGCAACAAAAAGGGGTTGGCTGGAAATCTGGGCAGGGCTGGACGAGCCTCCAGCCTTCAGCAAGCACCTCCTGCCTTTGCAGCAGGAAACTTCTTCCCAACAACTGAAAAGCTCAGCGCTCCCTGAGGTGCTGCTGGTGGATGCTCCAGGGGCACAGGGACCTTCCCCCGGAGTGCAGGGAAGGTGAGGCTGGGGCTCCCCCTCTGCATTTTCAGGTCCCTCCATGCAGGGTTTTGGCATCTTTGCTAGATGTCCTCAAGCTCAGACAGGTCCAGTGAGAATTGCTCGTTTGTCACCTCGGAAAGAGCACCGGGAAGGAGCGAGCGAGCGCTGCTCACAAACACCAGGCCTGGGTGGGTTCCTCGTTTCTCCCCTCCTTGCACCCGTCAGCCCTCGAGGCGCGGCGCCTTTGCTTCCATTTCAGAAATTCAAGCTAACATTTGAGCAAATGCTGAGAGGCATCTGCTGAGTGGTAGGAATCAGCAAGTGACTTCTCCAGCAGCTGTCTGTCAACTTTAATGACCAATATGGTTGCAATTACAGCAATGAACTTTCTCTAACAGCCCCAAATTACTCCGGATGATGATAAGTGACAGAAAAATGGAGACCCTTAAGGAAGCATTAAAAAAGAAACATGGGATCTGGAACAAGAGGTCTCAGTGCTCTTTCTGAAGGATCTTAGTTTTTTCTTTTTAAATTAGGTATTAGCAAGGATAAATCGGAGCTGGAAGGGGAAGGCACGAGGAGCTGTGGATCTCAGCAGGGAGTTCAGAGCTGCCCCAAGATGTGGTTTTTACGCAGCCATTTGACACCAAGCCGGCTTGTTTTAGCGCAGTGCTAACAGGCTGATGTGAAGCTTCTCCTATTTGAAGCTAATGCAAATATGTCAGCGAGACAGCCTGCTCCTCAGGCGGGTCATTTTATCTTATTTGCCCTCAGATCGAGAGCAAAAGCTTGACATGGGCCCTAGGAAGGCAGCTGGGCCACATCCTGCTCTCTCCTGCTTGAAGCCAGCAGATCTGGGGCTCTGCAGACCAGTCCCGTGCTGAGCATGGGCCCACCACAGGGCGACTTTTTGGATGACTTTTGGAGCCAGAGAATAAAAGAGGAGGTGTTTGTTTTTCACTTGTGCTTTGGGTTGGCCTGAGCTTATACCAAGGAGAAAACACGAACTGAACTGAGGTTCCCAGAGCTCTCCAAAAGGCTGCAGGAGACGGGTGTGACATTTTGCAGTGAGCAGCCAGGGATGCTGAGATCCTTGGCAGAGGCGCTGGAGGCAGCAGGGCACGTTTCCACCCCACGTGAAGCCCTGGAGAGGTGATTGACTCCTTCAGCTCAGCAAAGTCGAAAGAAATTCCAGCGTGAATCGAAAGCATTAAACAGGGGGTCATTTGTATTCATCTGTGCTTTGTTAATATACTTAATATAATAAGTATACTCAATTAAAATTACATTTTATCTGGCATGCACTTTACAGGGCTTTATCAGCACTGACAAGGTCAAGTGATGCTTAATAAAGGTTATAGTATACGCAGATGGCTTGGAGCCCTCAATCATTTCCCGTGTCCAAGGTAGAGAAGTGAAGAGCCAGAAACAAATGAAGGCATCGCTGCAGCAGCACCTCTGGCCTTGTGGTCCTCTGAGGGGCCGGGGTGAGGCTGGGATGCCTCAGTCCTCCTCTGCAGAGCCCTGATCCTTCTTCCCAACCCCTGACCCTGCAGCAGGATCTTCTCTGGGACCAGCAACGTCTCCGGTGACCCCACGTCAGCCAGGGCTTTGAAACAGCAGCAGAACAGGACCGAGTCCCCCTGGTGTCCCCACCCCAGCTTTGTGCTCACCTGCTGCGTGCCCCAGGCCAGCCACTGTCCCCTTCCAAATACCCAGCATTTGCCTGTTGCCTACAGATCATTCTCTCTCTGTAAATATCGGGGAGCATTTTGGACATCCCGGTGCTGGCTTTTCAAGCCTAGTTATCAAAATGAGCTAAAGGAGGTGACACTTTTAATTATCAAATGCAATTGTGACATTAATTTTGACCTGTTTAAATTCCAGCATCTTTTCACTTCTGTGATTGCTTAGCTAGAGGGTGACATAGAATTGTATATAATCAGACAGTTATCCTAAACTGACAATAAAACCCACAGAAATCTGATGCTTTTTATTCCAAAAAGCATGAGTGGTGGCGTTATATTGAAGTGGTTAGCTCATCTGTAATGGAAATTTGTTTTGAGTTGTGTGTGGCAGGCAGTTAAACGTGTTCAACAAATACCAAGCCCAGAACTTCGGCCAGTCCTTGTCTTTAGGGACCAGTGCTGGTCCTGGGAGGGGTCAGCACGGAGCTGCTCCAGTTGCAGAGTTGTTGGGGCAAATGTGAATATAAAATAATGAGAATGTTTTATAACGCAGTGGATGTGCAGCGTAATGCAGAATGAATGTGTCTGCTCATATCCCAGGGTTCATGTAAAGCTTGAAATTACAAATATCAGTGCCAAAACAAAGGATTTGTTTTTAGCTCAAAATAATACTTACAAAAATGGAAAGCACTCGGCTTTTATTGTTGCTTCGTAATTAACTCCAACAAATGAATCTAATTACAAATGTTCGATGCTGCCCTATGGCAAAATGTCTAAGAAAAGAGAAGGACGGCCAGGCTTAAACAACTCAGGTAAAAATTAACTCCCTGGTAATATTTGATAATTAAGAATGTCTCTATCAGCTTGTCTAGGTATTAATGAATTGGGCTGTTCTTTTCACATTTGATTACTGGAGTTTTATGACTGCCATTTCGCCCTTAATGCTTCTGGAAATGGGCTTTCCAGTCTGAGGACTGAGCGCCAGGAGTAATGGTTGGGGATTTACAAACAGATCCCATCCTCTCCCTACTAAACCTCTGCTGTTCTTTTCATCCAGGCTTCCTTCAAGGCACGTTTTGGAGCCCTGTCACTGGGTTCATGTGGACGTGTGTGTGTCCTGCCCGGTGCTTCCAGCTTGTCCCACACCACCTCTGTCTCTGAGCAGGGCTGGGAAGGGAGCAGGAGGCTCCCTTGGGAGTCCGAGACATGAGCCATGAGTTTTCTTACAACCTGAAATCACACCTTCAGTGTGTTTGTTTTGCTTTGCTCTGCCTCAAGAAGAGCTGCAGGGATTTGCTGTGCTCCTCTTGCAGTGCTGCAGAGCCCCACCAGCCCCTCCACGTCCCCACAGCTCGGCAGGGCCACCCGGCACCAGCTGCTGCCCTGAGCCTAGAGCCCAATACCAGGACCTCCACATCCACAGACACTGATGCTAGAGATGCTGCAGCCTCCTGATGTTTCAAAGCAATAAACGCCCTCCATTTACTCCTGCAGTAGAGAAAATTATCCTCCCTGTGGTTCACCCCCAGCATCACTGCTGGCTCGCCATGTGAGCACCTCCCTGCCCTTTTCCCCTCCAAAAGCCATAACGGTGCTCCCTTCCCATCCTGTGTGCAGGAGTTGGGCAATCTAATTAAATTCAGAGCACCTCAGATGAGAGGCACCGGGCATCACCGCCCTCATTAGCCACATCCCTGCCGCTCAGCTCCAGCCACACTGCGGTGCCCGGGGCTGCCTGCCCCCTGCCCACCTCCATCGCTCTGCTCCAGCCACCGCCGCTGCCTGGAGAAGGGGAGGCATTTTCTCCTTTGTTGGCAATTAGCCTGAGCTTTGAGGGGCTGATATAAATGCCTGAAAGTTCTTTTTTTTTTTTTTTTTTTTTTTTTTTTTCTGTGTTCAGCTTTCACAGAGGGAAGCACCGGGATGATCTCGGGGCAGGAGTTGCTCTTGCACGAGGTTTGAAGCTTTCTTTTGGCGTTCATTTGATTTCTGCAGTGGGAACGTGCACTCTCTCTGAGCTCACCACAAAGGCATTGCCTCAGGCTGTACCAGAGTTTATAGACTAGGTCACAGACCTCATGCATATTTTATGTGCACGCAGGTCGCATTTTAGCCTTTGAGAAGCGCAGGTCAGAGTGCGAGCACCCTGCCCGGGAGGGAAGTGGCTCAGGGCTAGTCACACACAGCAAGTAAAGCCAGCAAGGAGATCAAGCCCCAGAAATACTCAAATCCACTTTGACAGATAAATCAAAGGATTGCTTTGTTCATGGTCTGGTCTTCCTGCCAACACAGGTAGCAGCAGGAGGATGCCCCGTGGCTGCAGCAGCGCTGTGCTGGCTGCGAGGCTGGCACCAAAATTACCGCCCTGGCCAGCAGCTCCTGGATTCACCTCTCCCACTACAGCCATATAGAAAGAGCTCGGTGCTTCAAGAAGACAAAGCCACCCCTGCTGAGCTGAATCGCCCTCTGGTGCTGCTGCAGATCCCTGTCTGGCACACGAGAGCCTTGGGTGTCCCGCTGGGGCCGGGCCAGCCAGGTGCTGCTGGGGCTTGGTGCGCACTGGCACGGCATCCACAGTGGTCTCAGCACTGTGCTAATTGCAAGCATCAGCCAAAGCCATCATTCAGGCACACAATACATCCACTGCCTTTTGATATGGAGCTCCCAAACGGGGGCTCTGCCAGGAACTGGCTCCCAAGGCCTCACCTCTGAAATGGTGCAAAGTCCTCCTCCATCTGCAAGGGAGCAGCGAGGAGCTGGCTGGGGGGAGCTGATACCCCTGTGCATGGGCTGGAGGATTAGCTGCTTGGTAATGACTCTGAGTTGAGTAATAATCTGTGGAGTGATTAATATGGATACGATCTTTGGATTAATAAGGATGCTGCAGAGCTGCCCGCTCAGGAAAGAAGTTTGCAATCACCTGTTTGAATGCACTGACTGCTACCTCAATGCTGTGATTAGATCCACGTTTAAGGCACCCCATTAAATTAGAGTGTAAGTGAACTCTTATAACCCTCAGCAAGAAACACATCCAGTCCTGGTGGGCAAAGAATG